TCTTTTTGCTGTGTGCTTTGTTGAGGTGCATCTGCCTCTATTTATAGGCAGGTTATGAGAGAGCCGTGTCAAAAGAATTGCAAACTTTTCTTCTTTTTCAAATAACACGTTTTTTTCTCTCTCTCTCTCTCTCTCTCTCTCTCTCTTTTTCTTTTCAAACTGTTTGGCTCCCACTTGAATGGGCACCGACACAACAAATCTCCCCCTGCAAACTGTTTGGCTCCCACTTGAATGGGCACCGACACAACAAATCTCCCCCTGCACACTCAAGTGGGGACGTTAGCCATCATCATCCCTGCAGCTACCGACGGTATTCAAACTTCTCCTTTGAAAGAATCTTCGTCAACATGACTGATCCATTTTCTTCTGTATAGATCTTCTCAAGCCGTAACAACTTCATCTCCAACACATCCCTGATCTAGTGATAGAATGGAAGGAGGAATTTTTTCCAAGGTGAATTGCCCTTTGACTGGCACAAAATATCCGATATCGTTCTTAATGAATTCCCAGTTCATTCAAGAATTTCTTCATCCACAGCAACTGTTTGCACGCTTCAGTAATCTTGACTGCCATGACACGACTCCTCCTGCAAATGTGATTGGATATCCTGAAAATCCATTTCACTACAGTCCAATGTTCCTAATCCATTTCACTCACAGTCTCAATTGTTCCTTGTTCCAGGGATTTGAAAGAAAACCGACCTCACTTAATTTCACTACAGTCCAATGTTCCTTTCCAGGATTTGAAAGAAACCGACTCACTACTTCAACTGAGTGAGCAATATCTGGCTGTGTACAAACCATGGCATTCATTAAGCTTCCAACTGCTGAAGCATATGGATTCTTTCCCATTTCTTCCTTCTCTCCATTCGTAGAAGGGCATTGTTTAGAACTCAATTTAAATTGATTAGTAAGAAGACAACTAATCACTTTAGCATTTTCCATTCTAAACCTTTGAAGTACTTTCTCAATGTACTTCTCTTGTAACAACCATAATTTCTTGGCTCTTCGATTTTCATGCCAAGAATTTGCTTTGCTAGTCCCAAGTCTTTCATGGCAAAAGACTTACTTAGTTGTATCTTCAAGCTAAAATTCTGACCAACAATCAACATATTAACCACATAGAGCAAAAAATAATGTAGTCATCATCAGAGAATAGAAACACAGTGATTTGAAGTAGTCTTTCTGTAGCCCTGCTCCCCCATAACAGACTCAAACTTCTTGTACCACTGTCTCAGTGCCTGCTTCAAGCCGTACAAGATCTTCTTCAGTTTGCAAACACAATCCTCTTTTTCTACAAAACCCTCTAACTGCTCCATGTATATTTCTTCTTCCAAATCTCCATGTAGGAAGGTAGCCTTTTCATCCATTTGCTCAATTTCCAGATCAAAACTGATGGCCATTCCGAGTACTGTCCGAATGGATGTCATTTTCACAACTGGTGAAAAGATCAAAATCAATACCCTTTCTTTGATTGAATCCTTTCACAACCAGTCTAGCTTTGAATCCTTTGATTGAATCCTTCACAACCGAGTTCTAGCTTTGAATCGTGGTTGGGACCTGTGTGTCTGCCTGCTTTGCATCCTGAAACACCCACTTGGTTCTTCCAAAGCTTTCTTTACCTTTTAGGCAACTTCACCAAGCTCAAATGTTTTGTCCTTTCCATGCAAGACGTCATTTCATGCTTGCGATGGCTCAATTCGTAGTTCTTCCTTGTGTTCATTTCCATAGCTTCTTTCAAAAGCTCTTCAGGGTTCTCCCCTCTTCAGTTGTTTAGTAACATACTCATTGATCTGGTTGATATTCTCATATATGCGTTGTCAGACTCTTTACCTGTTCATTTCCATAGCTTCTTCAAAGCTTTCAGGTTCTCCCCTTTCAGTTGTTAGTACATACTCATTGACTGGATATCTAGTAGATGGTTGTCAGACTCTACTAGATCTTCTTAATGTTTGAGAACCTTTCGGTGTTGGTGGTTGAACATAAACACCATAATCTTCATCTGGTTCATTTTGATTAGGAACTTCTAGATTTTCTAACTCTGACACTTGTTCTTGCGGAACATTTTCTTCATCTCCAATTTGTCTGCGTTCTATTGGAGGGACTCTCTGTATGTCTGTTGAGTCTTCATCAGATCTATATTATTGGCACTCTGCTTCAATATCTTCAATAGTCTGATCTTCAACAAATACAGTATCATGATTTTGTATAATCGTCTTCTGGATTGGGTCATAAAACCTATAGCCACATTGGTCTCGGCCATAGCTAATGAATACACACCGTCTAGTCCTGACATCAAGCTTAGACCGTTCATCCTTCGGGATATGTACGAAGGCTTTGCAACCAAACAACCGCAAATGATCATAGGAAACATCCTTTCCTGACCATACTCTCTCTCGAGTATCATACTGTAGAGGGAAATAGAGTGAACGGCGAACTACTGTGAGCAACGCTTCACCCCAAATTTTTAGACAACTTTGCATGTGAGAGTAAACATCTGACTCTCTCCATTACCAATCACGCAAGAAACTCTCGCAAGAAGATCCTCCCATATATCATAAATTCCATGCCAAAGAAGGGAGTCCTCGGTACAATTAACAAGCTCAGGGAAAGGATAACTTGGGATTTTACAACGATGAGAAGTAATAGCAACCTATAAAACATTAAGATTAAAAAGGATAGTCCAGCCTGCTTTCATTAAGAAAGCTTTATTGAGAGCCATAAGATCTTTAAACCTCAACCTTCCTTGAACCTTCGATTCGCAAGCCTACTTCCACGACACCGGTGACCTCCTCTTTCTAGCTGCAGAAGAGCCTCATATGAAACCACGACAAATCTTCTAGATCTCCCTACAAACAAATTAGGTAGTAGTGAAGTTTGCATAGCATATATGGGCATAATGGAAATCATCAAATTAGCCAAAGTTACATGTCCAACCAAACATAGCTGATTAGCTTTCCATGTATCCGTATAAGCCTTAGTTTTTTGATAATATAAGCATCAGAACGTTCTGTGATCCATTCATAGATGAGAGGAACTCCTAAATGTTTTCCAAAATTGGTAGTTTCCTTGAAACCCAACCCTAGACTCAACTATCTTCTTCGAACACTAAGAATGTTCTTAGAGTAGAAAACTTATGTTTTCTCGACATTAATCTTCTGACAGAGCTTAAACAAAAATATTTAGGATATTCCTAATAATCGAAACCTGATCATGAGAAGCCTCTGCTACCAAAACCAAATCATCTACGAAAAAGAGATGGGAAAGGTTAGGACCACCAAGAGAAAGATAAATTGGTTTTCAAACCTTAGCTTCAATTGCCCTATTAATTCCCTAAGAAAGTCTCTCCATACACAAAACAAACAAGTGCAGGCTTAAAAAGGGTCCTCTGTCTAAGCCCTCTAAAGGGTTAAAACGAGTCTAACTTGGTCCCATTCCACAAGACTCTCATAGAACAAGAGCTAACACATCATAATAGCATTAACAAAAGAGATAGAGAGGTCCAAATCCTTCAAAGTATCAAGAATTCCCACCTAACCATGTCTTTTTCTAGATCCACTTTTGATAACCATATACCTAACTTTACTTGTCTTCTCATTTTGTGGATAATCTCCCGAGCGATTATTATATTGTCCGTAATATGCCTACCAACGACAAAAATAGACTGGCAAGGAATAATCACTACAGACAAAATCTTTTTATGCCTGTTATAGAGAACTTCCGTGATAATCTTGTAGGAAACATTACGTTGGCTTACTGGACGAAAATGAGACGTAGTTGCAGATTTTGTTATCTTCGGAATGGAAACTAGTAGGGTGTTATTCATAGCTGAATATATCTTCGAGCCACTAAAAATTTTTTTTTCGGTTAACATATGAAAAATCGAAGCAATAGAACATTTTGTTTCATATAGCAAACCATTTTATTAAGCAAGTACTATAATAATCTTGATCAAAACTGTAATGTCATTTTGATTTTTAAAAATTGGAGGGACAAACCAGTAATCTCTGACCAATATTTCTAGAAGTTTAGCAAGACAAATTGGAAGTCCAAACAGCTATACATATTGTATATGCTTGTTGTCGTAGTAGTTGTTACTACTTTGCTATCGAAGTTTAAAATTGTTTAGCTGTTTGATTTGCATGTCTAAAGCAAAATGTTTAATAAAAATAATTATTTGATTAGTTGGTAGAAGTAAAATAATTTCTTAGCTATATTGGGTTCCGTTTATTTCGGTAAAATAACTTATATAAAAATATTTTTCACAATTTTTCGTCGTTTAAGTCATTCTAAAATAACTTTTTATATTCGAGAGAGTAAAATATTTTCTGAACATTGATAAACCATATAAATTTATTATTTTTTTAATTTATTAATCAGTCACCATTTATCACCAACTACCAGCGGTTTTTATAATTCACATTTTTTTTTTTGAATTCTTCTCATATTTAACAATAAAATTTTTAAATTATAAAATTTCTATTGTTATTAATATTTTTTATAGTGCTATAAGATAAATATTTTAATATTATTAACTAATTTTCAATATTATAATCAAATAATGGAAAATAAGTCATTAAAAAAATATTTTTTCATCATTAAAAAAATAAGTCATGAAAAATATTTTTCATCAAATTATTTTACGGAAACAAACATAACTTAGTTCAAATTATTTTACGGAAACAAACATAACTTAGTTTAAAGCTGTTTTCTTTGCATTTAGCTATAGCTGTTAAATTTAAACTAATAATTGTAAACATAAGACAGAGAAACATTTTATGAAACATTCCCATTATCCCTAAATGCCACTGTAAATATTCACCACAGCTACTGAACAATATAATAAATAAATAGCGTTTTAAATCCCGGTCAAAATACTACACACTACCTTAAAAAACTATTTCAATAGATAAGATAATAAATGATTTCATTTCAATGAAAATGTGAGTTGACACGTCTTATAGAAATAAAAAAGGAGTTAAAATGCAAAATAGCAATATATATGGAAAATCATTCAACAAATTGAATTTTTGTAATCAAGCAAATCGAGTATCACCAATGATCTTCAAATGGCTGTTCTATTATTATCAAACGTGCACTTCTGACTTTCTAGTTACAGCAAAATACGCTCTGTATGCTTTCATTTGCAGCCAAAGGGAAACATCTCCTATAGTAATAATCTAAAGCTAAAAGACATTTTTGAATTTTTGAATCAACTGGAACCTTAAAACCCATGCATGTGCATGGAAATGAATGCAAACAGGATTTGCTTACAAAATCCAAATATTCATATGCAGTATAAAGCCAAATGTTTATGGTTACACGCCAGAACCTATTAAGTCCCGAGTCAACGATAGCCCAACTGGATATGACCTGTGTATTCTTGTTTTTACGGTTTTGATTTTTCCGCTAGGCAAGTTATCAAGATCATTTTTGTTCACGTGTTTGATTGGTTTGTCAACTGTATCCAGCTCTTTAGCTTCAGCAATAAATCGAAGGCCCTGAAACATTTATGTCGGGTTGCATTAGAAAAGAACATAGGACAACAGTGGAGGAACTAGGATTCTCGACTTACCTTGAGAGACCTCTCCTCATTTGTCAATGCTGAATGGTTTGCTAGCTTAGCACCAACTTCCTGCCAAAATTCGAAAAATAGCTCAATTTGATGGAAAACGAATAAAAAAAAAAAAAACAGGGACTGAAAAAAAAAATGCAGATGTGGATGCATTACGAATTAATAAAGATTTACATTCAGATCCCCATAACAAAGAGAACAATGCATGTCATGTTGAAGTTTGGATAAACTTGCTGAGAGAAAGGGTATTCTAATAATGACCTAAAAATTACAGTTGTTTTTCAATAGTAGCCATTTGAAAAAAAATTATCAGTAGAGCCTAGGGCACAAACTTCAATATTTGTACCCAACCTCAATTTCTCTCTCTAGAAAATTAGGGTTTCTACACCTTTCCTCTCTATCATGCAAAAGTGATCATAGACACAGTATGGTTAAAAAGGAGAAATTGACTGGGAGCTGTAATTTTATTGAGTGGAAATTGATTAATTGATTATAATTTCCCCATTATAATTCTTTAAAAAAAGGCCACAATTTGAATATCCAATTACAGTTTTAATTATATTGATCATTAGCTAGCCTGGCCTTCACTTTTATTCAGATGGGAGTGATTACATACCAACAATTGCATAACATGAACTCATTAGACCAAGCTCAGCCTTGAGCAAGAAGAAACATCCAATACCCCCATTGTCATTATAAAGATATATCCAATTTGATGGTAGATATAATATCTGACCTGATAAACTTTTGCACCAGATCCATCTTTAAAGCCTCCAGCAAACTGACATAGATACCAGAGACCTGAGTTTGTTACATCCTGCAAGAATAGGGAGAAAAAGAACAACAAATTCAATCACTTAAAATTTTTTAAGAAAAGCGTTATAAAGAAAAATATTGATTAGAGAACTTGAAAATAACCTGTTTGCTCTCAAGAAGCTGAAGCTTTCCTTCCTGCAGAGTTCATTGGCATATCAAGAACCAATATCAAATCTTATAATTAGAGAGAAATTTAAATATAAAAACAAGCATTGAAACTCACCAGCCCAGCTATCATTTGATGGATAGTTTCAACATCATAACCAATTTGGGAAAGGTTTGTTTTCATCTCATCTACCTGCGAGCAAATAATTTGCACATAAGTACAAGCAGAGATGCACTTCTATACTTCTACAACGTTTGCCAGCAAAATCTCTCCCCTTTCTCAGATATACACATCTATAGATTTGCAATCTATAGATTTGCAGGTACATTTCATTTCAATAGGAACAGTAATGAATGCAAACTTAGTTACAGTTCCCATTGCAGAGGCCATCACTTAGTCATAGTCCTAGGAAAAAATGACCACGGAAAAGTAATCCAGACATAGTCCCATCCCTAAATGCACTTGTTGTTGGTTGCCTGGTACTTCTGCCATCATATGTGCCAGTGACCCCTGATACCTTTTGTGCTAAACTTCTTCTTAATTGGTTTATTTTCTCAGAATTGGCAAATTATAAAATAAAACTCTTTAGCGAATGTAAAAGGTATATATATATATATATATATATTGCCTAAATCTCCCTCTCTCGAATTATTATGAAGATATTTAGAAGCAGCCATGATACTTTTTTTTTTTTTTTGGGATAAATGACATCATAACCATAAGAGAAGATTAGTGCGAGCTAATTGCTTATGCATGAGAAATATGAAGAAAAAGGATTATGCTACAAGAAAGTTTAAATGAATAGAAACTAAGTAGTAGAGTGACAATCAGACAGACGTTATCAAATAAAGACTGAGGAAAAGTGTCTAGACAAGACAAGGGGCATATATAGGCACAATCAGCTTTCTCATATCAACTCCAGCTTTTACTGCAACAACGATTTTGGGAAACAAAAGTGAAAGCTTGGCATCTTGTAATGGTCTGGAATAAATCTGCCCAATGAAGTAGGCAGCATGTCTGTTTATTAACACATGGTTCCAAGTAAAGTGAACTGCGAAAGGGCAGAGATGCCCTCAAAAGGCAAAGCAGTTAACCTTAAATGTTGTTTGCTAGAACGGACTGAAAAATCAAACAGGCAAAACTCCAATCAAGGCAAACCTATATGACACTGTTTTCATAATAACTTTAAAAATATTTGCAATCTAGTGTGAGGCCACTTCGAAGCTCAAGTGGCCTTTTGTTATTCAATCACATGATAAGCTCAATATCCAGTCACAGCTTATCAAACGGAGTTGAAACTTGGTACAAGCTCATGCTCCAATATATGCCTTGAGTTTGTTTGACTTGACTTGATTTGCTTGCATAGATACGCAAGCGTATCTTCTAAAGGAAGGATATGGATATGTATTATGTATGTAATAGAGAATACTTATGTATAGAAACAAGATAAAAAGTGCCATGTACATCATTTGCAATCAGCTTAGATGTTTCTATCTGCTTGTCCATCTTCCAATCCAAGTTTTCCAGCCTCTTTGTCAGATGTCTCTTTGTTGACTGCAAAAATTAATAGTTGTTAAAAGGACTAAGAATACTGCAAACATGTAAAGAAAAGAATTGCCACCTGGGAAAGCAATTACTATCCAAAAGACCATCCCATCTTACTTACAGCCAATGTTTCAGAAACATTCTCCAATTGCTTAGACACAGTAGCAACAGCATTTGCCATATTTTGCTTTGTTACAAACATTACATCAGAAAACGACAATCCCTGCACTATAAAGGTAATAGATTATATAAATACCTATAATCAGAAAGAAGAAGCTATACACTCAGAAGTGCAAATGCAAACAGCATCTGCTGTGAGAAAAAAAATGTCTTCACTTTGAGTCATAAGAATCTTGCCTTCCACCACATGTAACAATATCCCATCGCTCCTAGTGCAGCAGCTGGCGCTAGATAAGACGAAAAACTCCCTGTGTACACAGGAACATGTGTGAGCAACTTTGCATAGTTTTACTTATATAGGCATATATCATATACCATGATGCAACTTATAAATGTTTTAACTAATTCTGAACCCATTAAGTGAAACAGAGTGCTTTAGAGCATATAAAAATACCATTTAAGTAACCTCAATCCTATAGCCTCTTTACCAAGAAAGTGATTTTGCTACAGCTAGAAAAATAGTTTACCCAGGCTTCATTCGTGATCATATTCTATTTTCCATTGTTGGTTTATAAAAATTTAGATTACCCTTCTTTCCCTTAACAATTTCAATTCAAGATAGGCGGATGGGAGTTGAGCTAGCAGCAAGGGAGAATGAAATATTTCCTACTAACTCATGTTTCTTTGGTTCTTTACTTTGTAGTTCAATATAGAGTCACCGCCCTACTTTCCTTCAAATAATTATCCAAAAAAAAAAAAGCTTTCAATTCATGGAAATTGCATTAATAAACTACTTAATAACTATAAATGTAAAATAAGCGACTCACCACTAGAAGAAGCATTCCCATTAAAGATGGTCACAGGGTTGGCTAGTGTTAACTCCTTAATCTCTTGTGCCAATTGACGAATCTGAGGAAAGGGCACAAGCAAGAAACCCATCAGAAAATACAATCTTTGGAAGACACCAATTAAAGATCTTATAGCAATTAAATTAAGAAATTGCATATTCCATTGCCTTTGTTAATCAACATAACAGTTTTTATCCCTTATCAACTAGATGTTGTCTTGAAGATAACTTAATCTAGGCAGTTTTGGGAAACAGACGAAGTCCTGGCCACCAGTAGAGTCACTTACCAAGATAACTAACCAAATCCAAAAACCTTGCCACAGCTCGCAGATATTAATACTAGAACCATAATGCAAGAAAAAAGTGAATTTGGTGTCAAAAATTCTGTCCAAACAAGGTGGCAAACTCACATCCATTTCTGATTCCCATTCTAATGAAGATTTATTTAAGTGCTTTGAACTTTAGTTTTTCATGCATTGGATGAAATTTTTTTTTTCTAATCAGGTATATTTAATCAATTACCCCGACCAAAATACTGTTTCTATCTTTTTTTGGGTTAAATGCAATTTCAAAGTTTGTTGTTATTGATTTAGTCTATATCTTTATATTATAAGCAAGAGTACTCATGTGGTCAAGTTTATGTGCATGCATACATATTAGCATGAAAAGGTAAAACCAGGGATCAATCCATCTTTTAGTGAACATTGAGTCTCAATGTGCCCGTCCGGATGAGAATTTTTTCTTTTAGAATGAACTCAGTGAAAATGAGTTCTGATGCACACACCAGCAATCCTGTGAGAGTAAATGACTAAATGAACTATATACGGAAACTTTTCTATTCATGCACATGCACTTGAATAGAACTGTGTTCAAAATTAAAGCACTCCCAGAGTTCAAGTGACTAGCATTCAAGAAATTATCCACTCAAGTCGAAAACAAATTCTTTCAACAATAGAGCACTCATGGAGTTCGACTGTCAGCATTTCTTAAACATAAGCATAAATGATAAATCCAAAACAACACCTTAGTCCTACCAAACTTACTTCAAACTTAACCTTCAACAAGAGTTCCATACTTGACTCAAAAATTTAAGCCATTAAGAGTAAACCATAAATGTCACTTGTATTCTAACAGCCTCACAGCATTGAACAACCCTGCTTTTATAGTCTTTAAATTTGGAAACTTTAAATAAACCAGCCGATTACACTATAGTTTCTACTTGGGAATTCAACTGACAAATATTCCCTTTGCTTTTTACTTCCCAAAAATGAGATTTTCTTGTCAAACTGGTAAAAACAGATTAAATCAATAAAAAATTCTAAAGCGAAGAAGTGTAAAAAGGAAAAATACCTGAGCAGCAAGAACGGCACTATCGTATTTGTAGGGCATGATATTAACTTCATCAACACCCTTGAGTAATTCTTGAAGCTGCGCAATGAGTTCAGATAATCTTCCATTTCCCAATACAATCGAACCAGTCAAACCTTTAAAAATATCCATAAATAAGACACCGATCAATACACAAAATAAAATTACAGGGAAATCTAGGGAAACTGAAATTGATGAGCTTAAAACTAAGATTGCCATCAAGTACAGGATCAGATAGAAAATTCAAAAGGGCACATAGACAAAGGAAAGCAGATAGGGAAAGACCTGCGCCGGCAAGGATGAGAACTTTAGAGGTGGAGACGCCAGTCTGCAGGGCCATCTTCGGCTTTGATTATGATTATGCTATGCTCGTGTTTTGGCTGGGGGCTTGGATCTTTTTTTTTATTTATTTACGTTGTTTTTTCAATTTTTTTTTTTTTAACATATACTGCAAAAAGAAAAAAAATTAAGCGAACGCATACTGGTCAAGGGCTGTTGAATTCTATTACTTGTTGTTTTAGTAACTGCTAGAGGGTTAGCTGGTAGCTGATTATACCGCGGATCCAATTAAAAAGTATTTAGTATTTAATTTAAAATAATAAAAAATAGCATTAATTATTTAATTAAGATTCTAAAATCCGTATATATGACTGTAAAAAAAATTTAAATTAGTCCTTATAAAATGCTAAATTTTAAAATGTTTAATGTTTGATAAAAAAAAAAACTCTCACAATCTTAAAAAGTTCAATGGAATAATAAATAATGTTTCTCTTACCTTTATTTACATTAAATCTAATAAGTACTTTCCTAACTAACTCTTCGTTTTAAATAAAAAATATTTGATTTAATCAAAATTTCCTTTATTTTATTATAATTTATAAGAGTTAATATAAAATTTTAAATGACTTATATTTTGAATTATAGAGAATATTATAAATATAAGATTAATTGTTTTGATAATTCTTAGGTTTTTTATTAATTATTTAAAATATTCAGTAAAAATAACTATCAACAAATATATAGTCTAAAAATTATTAACATGACTATCCCATTTGAGATAAGTTCAATAAAATCGACTATAACCAAAATTAACTTTTTCGTTGAAACAAAAATATGACCGATTTGATCAAATAATTCAATTTTACAAAAAATCGAATCAAAGTAATAATAAACGATGATTTGATAATAATGAATCAATCATTTAATTAATTATAAATAAAATTGTTAAAATTAAGAAATAATAATAATAATAATAATGATAATAATAGTAATGAAATTAAAATATATGAAAATGTCTTAATTTAACATTCTTATTTTTTAGAAGGTTTTTAAAATTTATTTAGCCATATTAATCCAAAAAAGAAAAGGGAAAAAAATTTTTTCTTTCGTCACAGTTCACTTTAGCCCAACACATTCCAATTAGTACCGTCGCTCTCCATCAAATTTCTTTGCATATAATATTTGACTGAAACAATAAAATTCCAAATTTGCAAAATCAAAAACCAAAAAGCTCCTCAAAAATGGCACCAACTCTTCTCTTTATCCTTATAATTTCTCTCTTGACCCCCTCTAATACCCAAAATCTCCAATCCGCAGAAGAAGAAGCGTTTATTTCAATCCTAATATCTCAACAAGGTCTCGACTTTCTTAAGAATTTACTCATAACCAAAGCAATTTCCTCAGTAATTCCTCTCAATTTGCCCAGAATTGAAAGAACAGCTGAAATCCCAGTTCTGGGTAACGTTGATATGGTCTTGTCGAATATCACCATATATGAAATCAATGTATTTTCTTCTAATGTTAAGCCTGGAGATAAAGGGGTTGCAATTATTGCATCGGGGACTACTTGTAATTTAAGCATGAGTTGGTCTTATGAGTACAGTGCTTGGTTTTTTCCTGTGGAGATTTCTGATAAAGGAAACGCTTCTGTTCAGGTGTAATATATAAGCTTTTTTTTTTTTTTTTGCCCATTAGATATCTTTGGGGTTGGATTTGAGTTGTTTCCGTTTTGTTCATTATGCACAGTAAAATTAATGCTGATAAAGGAATCAAAATTAATAATTTCATTTTAAGAATTATTATTAAGATTTATATATTTGGTTTTAGCACGCTAATTTTCAGTTGCAATTAGGGGAAATTTATGAGCTTGAAGTAAAGGTTAGATTTTTCTTTTCAAATTTTGTTTTTGTGATTGTTTGTGATGGAAATTAATATTGATTATCGTTTTTGGCAAAGCACATGTTTTGTTTCTTATTGATTATTCATATTCTTGTGCTGCCGCATGAATATTTTGGTAAAGAACGTACTTTTATATAATTTTGAATTTGTGGTTGCAGCTTAGTTTGCTTTTCTTCGTTTGTTTAGTTTGTTTTTCTTTATTTGTGTTTTTCTTCTCATGTTTTATGTGCCTTTAACTAAGGGAATTGATGAATGCTGATTCTGGGTAAGGTTGAAGGCATGCAAGTGGGGATTACATTAGGCTTGGAGAACCGGAATGGAACCTTGAGGTCGTCTCTTATAGATTGTGGTTGTTATGTTAAAGATATCTCTATAAAATTGGATGGAGGAGCATCTTGGCTTTATCAAGGGTATGAAATGAATTCTCTACATGAAACTCACTGCATGATTAACTAGTAGCACTGCTTATCTCCATCATCCTGCTTGTTGTTTTGTTATATGTTATCATGGCTAGTTTATAGGCATTTTGCACATTTTATTGAGAGAGCCAACACGAAGCATTTTGATAATTTCATCTTTCCAACTGCTTATGAGCATTTTATATGAAAATTGGTCAAATAATGTGATAAAACTGAAAGTTTAGTATGTTTGACTTGTGATGTTGCAATCCTTGAAAGGGGGCTGGCTCTTTCACAGGGGATAACTTTAGACTCCAGTCCACCCCTGATGGAGGAGACAAGAGAGGGTCATCATAATTTTTAATGTTTTAATGGGAAGGGACAAATTTAGAGAAATTCTCCCTGAAGGTTTTCTATCACTGTTTTGAATTATCTTTTTCTGTGGATTAACCATTTTTCTTCTTGTATGGCAGGATGATAAATGCTTTTGAAGGGCATATAGGGGCTGCGGTGGAAAATGCTATTACTAAGGAACTCCACAAAGGGATTCCAAAGCTTGATTCGTTTCTGCAGTCTCTTCCAAAAGCAATTCCAGTAGACGATAATGCTTCTCTAAATGTGACTTTTGTTAAGGATCCTTCGTTGAGTAATTCTTCCATTGGGTTTGATATTAATGGGTTATTCACTGCAAGGAAAAAGATTCCAGTCCTGAATAATGAATACAAAAATTCGCAACCTTCAGTTTTCTGTGCAGATCCATCTAAAATGCTTGGAATTTCACTAGATGAGGCTGTCTTTAATTCTGCATCAGCCTTATATTATAATGTATGTTTGGTAATATGGTCTACTAACTGCAGTTTCTGGACCCTTACGTGAACTCTTTTGATTCAAATGTATTTTGACAGTGACCACTCCAATCTTCAGTGAATTGTTTTACACTTTGGCCTAGTGCACTGGGACTTCCCTATTTGTTGTTTGTGCTCTAGGACTTCTTTAAGTACATATTAGGAAGAAATAATTGGATCCAAAAAGGTTTATTGGATATAGCTTGAACCTACTTATCCAGTTGGATTAGGCTACATTGCATCTCTGTTGCATCAAATTAATTGACATGTTATAGCCTCAAGAAGTAAGGTCCTAACTTGTGGTTGTGTCCATGGGAAAATTTATTTTGGATTACCTCAAATTTTCTTTGAAGTATGCCCTCTTATTATAGTTCTTTTTGTATTTGTACTCCATTGATGTTAAATAGAACTTACATTTTGTATCAGGCAAAATTTATGCAATGGATTGTTGATAAAGTGCCAGATCAGTATCTTTTAAACACTGCTGGATGGAGATTTATTGTGCCTCAACTGTACAAGAAATATCCAAATGATGACATGAATTTAAATATCTCTTTATCTTCACCTCCAAGCATAAGGGTATCAGAGCACAATATTGATGCAATTGTTTATGCGGATTTGATAATTGATGTTTTGGAAGCCGACCAAGTAATACCGGTTGCATGCATTTCATTGGTAAGTGTAAGTCTGTTGATGGAAATGTGAAACATTGTTTGTCTCATTGTCAGCTTCTTTATAAGTTATGTTATACTTTGTTCTTCTTTCCTCCAATGCTGTGGTTGGTTCATTGATTGATCACAACATCCATGATTCTTAGACTGTGTCAGGTATTGTCTTTGAAGTAGAAATAAGTAATGAGGCTATGGTGATAAAATATGATTGTTAAGATGTGGACACAAGGATGAGTTTTCTTTCCCATGAACACAACCCAGCCTCAATCCTAATCTTGTTGGGATTCATTATAAAGATCATTTTCTTCCATTCCATTCAATTTACGGCTACATTAACAGAAACGTCTGGTCTACCTCTCTTCAATAAAAGTTTGTGTATTCCTGGCTCTTAAACTCCTACCTTTTTAAAATGATTATCAGAAAGAGCAGCTAAATTAATTTGACTTTTCAAAATGGCTCTTCTTGCCTATACGATGAAATTGTTTGTACTGAATGCCTGATTAGACTCTTACATTATTGAGAAGTTAGACATGGTTGTTTTTATCGCTTTGAGAAGTTATATAGCTTTTCATTTTGTTCTATTGATTTGTGTTTCTGCAGGAAATTCATGGCTCAGGTATAGTAAGAATATCTGGCAATAAACTTGGTGGCAGTCTGAAATTAAATGATTTTTCAATGTCATTGAAATGGAGCAATATTGGCAATCTTAGGTTGAATTTCATTCAGGTAAACTGTGCCATAATAATACAAGTTTTCTTTTCCTTTCTTTTCAGGAAAATAGGTTAATGAGCAATGACAATAATATTTTGCTAAATATACAATATACCATCCTTGTCCTATTGCAGCCAGTCATATGGACTCTTATTCAAACAGTTTTCTTGCCATATGCAAATGCACAACTTCGACAAGGCTTCCCTTTGCCAATCATTCACGGTTTCACCCTCAAGAATGCTGAAACAACCTGCTCAAGTTCAAAAATTACTGTTTGTGGTGATGTGGAATTCACGGACCCAGGTTCTAACCAAGCTTCTTTTTGATTTTTGAGAAGACAAAATATTTTGTGTTACCTTCTGATATACCTTCTGATATGGTCTTGAAGATGCATTGACCAAAAATCCAGGTAGCAGATGTTCAAGTCCTCTGTTGTTGTTTCATATGTAAAATAAAACCATAACTGTACAGATTGTGAGATGCCATACATCATAAAGTGATACTTTGTAATATTATTGAAGCATTAAATTCATTCTTTAACTTAAATGACAAAGAAGAATAACTTCTGATGTGATGATACTTTTGATGACTTAATTCAAGATAATTCTATATTTAGTATGGTCAGCACCTGAAAGTAAGATACCAATAGAATTTCAATGTGATCATTTTTTTTTCCATCTTATTTTGACAAGTTTCCATCTGGGTGGATGTGAATTTGATGTCAAGGTAAAATTTAAGTTTGTATTTTACTGTTAGCTAAAATTGTTTAACCTAACTCTTGAAAAATAGCTCTTATGGTAAGTCACATTGTACATGGATCCTACAGTTAAAATTACTCATAACTTCTAATGAGTTAGGTTGGAGCAATCTTCTCTTAAAATTGCTCCAGCCTAACTAAATAATTTCGAATGACCAAACAAACATGATTTATCTAATTAATCTTTAGTGATCAATTAGACAATTCAGAGTCCTGTTGTTTTTGAAAAATAAATTATCAAGAAAATATTTTTTTTGAATTTTTTAATAATTCGGAGGTGTGAAAAAGATATATTTTCTTGAGCAAAAGGAAAAGTAAATTATTTAAAAGAAAAATAATTTTCTTTCAAAAAAAGAAAAATATTTAGAAATTTAGGATAAACTTATTATAGCCCTGTAAATATATATTAGTCAATTGATAATTATCAATCATTGCTAATCACAGTCAATCACTAGACACCATTATTTGCCATCAATCATTGGCAATTATAAGAAGTTATCATTTTTATGTTTTTTTTCACATATCCAAAAATAAATTAATAAAGTATGAAATTCTATAATTTTAATTTCTACATATTGTTATATAATCTTAAAAATTAATATTTTTAAATAAATTTATAATGTTGATTGAAAACACAAGCTGTTTGTACGGGGCTGACTGATCCTCCAAAAAAAACACAGAGAAAGAAAGGAAAAAATATATATATATATATATCTACCTTGCAGTAAAACGCTCCGTTCTATCTCCAAGAAACTGGGTTTGTTAATGTTATCGCCTAAAATATCCTTGCTGCCTTGCAATGCGGCTGTTCAGATACAATATTCAAATGTAAAGGAAAACCTCTCTAAAACCCTCTCGTAAATTTTAATGCAATCCTCTCTCCCCTCATCACCACCATCCAAAAAATGCAAACTTCTTTTCCCATTTCACCGTCCAAAATCCCCTCAATTTTCCCATTCAACCACCCCATTTCCCATAAACCGACAATAACCACTACCCAACATCAATTTCCTCTCCAAACCCATGTCAAAAAACCCATAAACTCTTCCGTAAAATCTTCTAGCCATTTGTCAGCAATTGGCCGTATAATCGAGGAAGAAGAGGAGTTCAGAAAGGCCCGTGCCGCTGTAACCCGTAAAGGAGTCGACTTGGAAGGTTATTCTATAGAGGGTCTCTCCATTGGAGGCCAAGAGACCTGTTTAATCATACCAGAGTTTAAGTGTGCTTTTGATATTGGCAGATGTCCCTCGAGAGCTATTAATCAGAACTTTGTGTTCATCACTCATGCCCACCTTGATCACATTGTGAGATTTCTGCTTCCTTACCCAATTAATGGTTTTCAGTTTGAAGACTAGTTATTGTTAAACTATTATCTTCTTGTACTTTTTTTTTAGCTTTGAATTTTATAGTTCAGACTATTTGTATCGTATTATGTTGTGTTTTTGGTTTAAAGATTAGTTAACGTTAGAAGTGTTTACAATATATATTTGGCTTGAAATGTTATGCACGACTGAACTTGTTTTTATATTGAATCTACTCAGGGTGGGTTGCCAATGTATGTGGCAAGTCGTGGTTTGTATAATTTAAAGCCTCCAACCATATTTGTGCCCCCTTGTATCAAAGAGGATGTTGAGAAGCTTATGGACATTCATAGAGCCATGGGGCAAGTGGAATTGAATCTTGATTTGGTTGCATTGGGTGTAGGTATGGCAGTTATTGCCTTGTTAGGAAAAATTTTTGTTGTTGTGTTTAATTTCTATTATTGTTTATGCTTTAATAACTTCACATGTTCAAATTCAGATGAAACGTATGAATTGCGGAATGATATTGTGGTTCGACCATTTAGAACCCAGCATGTTATACCTAGCCAGGTGTGTTTTTTATGAGATTTTCTTGTTTCTTCAAAGGTGCTATTTAGTTACTTTTGGTACTTAGACCATTAATATATATCCCAATTTCTGGAGAGACATCTTTTAGGAAGAAAGGAAGATGTTAATCCAACAAGGGTTTGGCACAATAGCTTTTTTATATTACTCCATATTGCATCTGTTAAGGTGCTATTGGCTGCAAGACATGATTCATATTCCATTACAGTGTTCAACAAAACCATTCTGAAATTTTGGCACTGCCATGAAACCCTTTATTATGTCATCTGATCTCAGTTTTTCATACATAAATGTAACTAATGTATCTCTTTGTAAAGGATTTCCCCATTTTAGATTAGACTAAGATATTATATTTTGCCTCATTTTTTTTCCAGGGTTATGTCATTTATTCTGTTAGAAAGAAGTTGAAGAAAAAATATATTCATCTCAAGGGGAAACAGATTGAGAAATTGAAGAAGTCAGGTGTTGAGGTTTGTTATCTCTCCAACAGGGTCTTGATTAAGCTTTCGGGTTCTAGATATTTATTCAGCTTTGTATTTTCCCTTTAGATTACAGATATAATTTTGTCCCCAGAGGTGGCCTTTACTGGTGATACCACTGCAGAGTACATGCTTGATCCCCGTAATTCAGATGCATTGAGAGCCAAGATTCTCATAACTGAGGTAATAATTAATGAGATCCCCCTCCATGTGATTGTTTTTTGAGGGCGTGGTGCAGGGAGCTAAGCAATTTGTAGAATTACGATAGGATCTTTTGAACATGGTCTAGTTGATTTCCTTTTTGAAAAATTTATTTTCCAATAATTATTCCAAAATCCTTTCTTTTTTTAATTGAAAAAAAAAAAAAAATTAACTTGCTTCAAATTCTTAGATTATAGGCGATTTACATATAAGATTGTAAGAGTGTAATTGGATCTGGATGGATTGATTCTAGGACTGTCTTGCACCTGATTTGAGAAACATTTGAACGTCACAAGAAAAATGTCTCCTTTTCTTACTGTGATCTGGTTTTAGATGTGATACCTTATATTTCAGTATTGTTTTTTCTTTTCTCCTCATTCTTAATAACTTTAATGGTAATCTTTTGTGTGAAGAATCTATGGAAGTTTTAAATTTGACGCTGAAGCACTTTTGCAGGCAACTTTCCTGGATGAAGATTTTAGCATTCAACATGCACAAAAACATGGCCATACTCATTTGTTTGAGGTATAAGAAGTGTTAATTCTCCCTAACAATTTATACTATTTTTAACAGTTTTGAGGCTGACCTTACAAACTAATTCATCAAAATATTTTGCAATTCTGAAGTAATGTTCTGTCAAATCTGCAGATTATAAAAAATGCTGAATGGATTCGGAATAAAGCTGTATTGTTAACTCATTTTTCTTCTCGCTATAACATAGAGGTGAGTGTTAAATTGAGTTGAGTTTTTTGTATCTATAAATATGCCTTCATTATCTTCAAATTAGTATCTACTAGGATACTTTGCTTTTCTCTAAATAAGCTCGAAATAAGTGATGCTTTGGGGTTTTCTTATCTGTACAAAAGATTTTGGGTTTTTACAAGGAAAATCTAGCAAAATTGGTCCATTTGGATGCTTAACTATGAATTAGGGATAGTTGTTTCATAATTTAAATTCTCCAAGCTGTCCCCTACGAAATAAACGCGTACAAAAAAAAAAAAAGAGAGAAGATTGAAATTAATAGTCCTTGCTCACCGGATAGAATCCAAGGTTTGTCTCAAGGCGACTTGCCTCAGTTTGATACGTAATGTTAGGCTTTATGGAGAAAGAGTTGATACTTGAAATCATGTTCTGCTGCCAAATTAAATTTAATTGATTCACGCAAAAATTTCCTGTTGAGTAAGAATATTTCAGATCATGCCGTTTTGATCCTCTTGGTTGCCTCATTTGGTTTCTTTGTTAATCGCAGGATATTCATCAAGCTGTTTCAAAGTTGCAATCCAAGGTTTCAGCAAAAGTTGTCCCTCTAACAGAAGGCTTCAAATCAATGTACTGAAGAATCCACAGTTCAGGAAATTGTAGGAAAATGTAATCAATCTTTGTAAAGTATTTGATCTGCCCTAACTCAACAGCATGAGATGGAAATACATTGATCAAAGCAAACCATGTATCTGTGGGATGGGGGAAACCCTAATTTTTGGCAGTAAAATAGCAGAAGCAAATTATACTTCAAAAGACCAGCCTATGTACAGTCACATTGGCAAATGGTACTCTTTGTTCTCAAATTAATTTAGTTTGGATCAGATCACAACAAAGGCATTGCTCCATATTATTGCAATCCAGCAAAAATAGCAGATTTCAAACCAAGCTTCCACCAAATGCGTTACCACTACAAACATGTGAAATTCTTACGTAGACTCGGTCTACCTCGTCAGCTAAGAATTTCTCTAGGAAGAGCACCATCAGAATTAATCTTTACGAAAACCGAGAAGCAACCATAACAATGGTAGAAGCTGTCCTACCATCACCACCAAAAACCCAAGCATTACGGTACTTCCAAATGAACCAACAAGTAATCCCAAACAATGAAGGCTAAGAAACATCACCTGATAGAAGATCTATCTGAGATAAAATCCACTGAGTCCATTTTTTAACAGAGCAATCAATTTTATTTTTTTAAACAAATAAAAGAATTGACTAATTAGTTTAACTGGCCATTTGATTTTATTAGCTGAAATTTCAGTGTCTACAGTTAAAATGCAAACAGGATCCATGACTCTGCTCATTCACAGACTCCCCGAGCATTAATGGTGCACCAGAAACAAGTCCCCATGATATTCTGATAGATGCCCTGGGCCGCTATCCGACTAATTGCTTAATCAGTTCTGCCAGATTCTGTGTCTCAAAATTTTATGGAATGTTATCCATTTTTATAACATGTATACAGAGAGTGTTTTTCATGTACAATCTTGGCACGGTGATCATCTTGTCATTTCGATGGCTCCAGAAACTGCAGATGTTAATAGCATGGAGAAACATACCCATAACTTTCATGTCAATGTTCCAGATCAACTTCACGTATCCAATCAGATCTTCTACATGACAGATGTGAGCAATAGAGATGCATTTGTTCCTCCAAAGCCAAAAGAATTTGACAATGCTGCTCTTATTGGCATCTCCTTCGAAGCATTCAGCGGCATAAACTTGTCTTTGAATATGGGATCTGGATTTCTGAGGTTAAGAGTCAATGGCGCAATGCCCTGAAACATGGGAAACAAGCACATAAGCGAAACATATGTGTGCAAATGTGTGCACCAGCACATAAAATAGCTTTGGTTTCAAAGTCGAGCAGGAAATCAATCAATCAATAACTCCTACTCTGGTATTGTTTTGTTTTATCCTAGTCAATCAAGAAGCAAGTATATGAAATTTCTTACATGGTATATGGCTAAAACTGAGAAAATTGCTTCAACAGCACCAGCTGCTCCAAGGAGATGGCCAATTGCACCCTGAATTTTATCATGATAACAAAACAAAATTACCACATTCCTATTTGCTCTCCAAAATCAACATGAGCACAGTACATATTCAGAAGAAATAAGAACATCCTTTTCATTACATAAAATTTGACAAAAAATTATTGCTGATTAGGCTACAGGTCACCATAAAGTACGAAATATGTTTTCCCTTTTTCCTTGAGACCACTGTAATTTATAGAATAACTAGATACCTACTAACTAGAGCCACCATCAGGAACCATCAATTGGCTACAGAGAATATAGAGTGAAGGAAATTAGATCATTCTTTAATTGTTGGAAAGAACACTACAATGTCATTCCTCATAAACTACGTGTCATAACCCTAAAATTACCTTTGTGGAAGACAATTTCAGAGCACCTGATATTGCATGTTCAGAGAATATGGTCTTCATGGCACTGGCTTCTATAGCATCACCTGGATGAGATAATTGGGTGACAAGGACAGCACATAGATAAGTTTCAACATGTAAAGTTTCAACATGTAATGACATTCTCAATATATAAACTTCTAAATTGAAAGAAAGCAACATGTGAAGGGCCAACAAGCGTGTACCCAAAGGTGTAGATGTAGCATGAGCATTTACATAATCCACTTGATTGGGATGAAGACCAGACTGCAATTTACGAAGAAAAGATGTTAAAATAAACCGCTAGATCCATCCGAATGATGATATCAGAATATGAATACTATTAGAAAGAAGTTGTTAATTGATATGCTGTCAACATTTGCAAGTGGAAAAGCTGGTTTAACAATATGAACAATGGGCATCTCACCTTTCATTCTCAGACGTAAAGCTTGCAATTAACAAACAAAAAACTCTTCAACATTGCGCACCACATTTCAACAATCAACCTAGGACATGCCACTGACACTCTTATTAATTTCCTTACCTGTTTTAGGGCACGCGTCATGGCCAAAACAGCTCCTCTTCCATCAGTATGTGGTTGAGTAATGTGATACGCATCACCTAGACAACAGTAGTGTCTTTGAAATGAAACAATTAACCAAAAGATAACAGTAGAATTTTATGGTTTTTTTTCTAACAAACAACCTGACATCCCATAGCCGCGAACCTCTGCATAAATTTTGGCTCCTCGTTCTCTAGCATGCTCAAGTTCCTTGATAAGATAAAAGCCCAAAAAAAAAAAAAAAAAAAAAAAAAAAAAAAAAAAAAAAAAATAGCAGTGGCGCCAGAAATGTAATATGAAGTTTGAACAAAGATATATCAACTTACTTCTAATACAAGAACACCAGAACCTTCACCAATCCTGAGTTCAGAACGTAAATTAGATGGTAAAAGGAAAAAACACAGATGACAGACATGAAAATTAATGCAAAAACATGTGCTTACACAAAGCCATCTCTATCACAATCAAAAGGTCGGGAAGCTTCTATTGGCATAGAATTATACTTTGTAGTCAAAGCCCTTGACCTGGAATTGAACATGAAATGGCTATCAGTTTAAGCAAATTAGCAAGTGCAATGAAGCCCAATGCCACTAGAAAGGAAGCCGAGTATAACTATATCAAGAAGACATCATTAATTGACAAATCAATGTACTCTACTGGCCCGAGTATTAGACTGCATTCCCTAGGAGATGGAAGGAAAAAAAGAAAAACTATTATCACCATACAATACCATCAGAGATGTACAATGAAAGGAGCCCAATAGAATGCTCATTCCAAAAATTTGGCAGTTCAAGTTGCTTTCTACTGTGAATACAGTATTTTCCTGAAGTACCACCTAGAAAAGGTCCTGCCAATTCCCAAAGCAGCATCCTGAGAAAGGATATCCAGAGATAGTTTCATTCTTCAAGATTTTCATCCACGGTATTCCCGAACCCATCAAGAGGATGTTATCGAGTGAAAATCAATGTACTCAGAAACTGAGTTTACAGCCACATTTCCTCTGTGTATTGCAATAGTAGCATAAATTTATTCACACTATGCGATCCTTCTCATGCATGTATACTGAAATGATCCTAACATTTCCAAACTCTTTGTCCTTCTAGTTGCCTCCTTTCAAGATAAAATTTGAATCCTAAAGCACCACTTAGTTACAAAGCAGTGTCCTGAGATAGAACATGTGGACCTGGTCTGGTTCTACAACGTATTTGTATAAGTAATCACTTCTTGCAAGTCCAAAATTTTTAGAGTTTCACTATAAGGTTCATTTTTAGTGTATGGGAGCTAGTAATCTAGATATATAAAATATAACTGGCATTCAAGTTTCAGAATCTCATAATGCTGAAGTGCAGGCAATGACAACAGCGGCTCAAGTTAGAATTCAGACCACATCTTTGATTTTCGCCATTATAAAAATGTCAGCATCAAGAAATTCTACAAATTAAGCATTTTGGCGGGAAAAGGTCATAAATATTGCATAATAGCTAATTGCTGTTGAGAAACTACCAGAAATGAACTTTGAGTTCTCAATTGCATTAATATTTTCACATCAGAAGAAACCAAATAAGATCACTCAGCTGAAGAAATTAGTATTCATAATTTTCAATCCACGAACGTCCAATAACTCAATAAGAGATACTAGATACACACATATAAACACATTGTATGTTCACCAAGTTTTCACAAGTGAAAAAGAAATTGCGTTGCGTTGCGTTGCGATACAACTCTAAATAATCAGTTTGCTTTCCAATATTGCAGATAAGCTTATAAAATAATAACCTGCAAAATCCTGCAATTGATAAAGCATCTATACTGGACTCTGTGCCTCCGGCCAACATAACATCTGAATCTCCAAACTGAATCATCCTAGCAGCATCACCAATGGAATGTGCTCCAGTAGCACAGGCAGTAACAGCCGCATGGTTTGGTCCCTATATCCAAATGAAAGGCTAGACTATGTTGTAACATGTACTTTGTTAATATAAAGGACTATTTGCTACAGGTGGTCGAAAATCATAAAACTGAATGGTGAAATACGTGAACTAGAAGGTTACAAAGGCAAACGAGATTTACAGCATCATAACATCTTTCTTTAATATTTATCAATCCAACCATCACTGCCTAAACTGGAAAATAGACCAGCATAGTGTGCTCATCTACACATAGTAGCTCTAGCTTTATTTTCATGAATAATCTGCCAAAAGGTCAACTACCTTCTAAGAGATGAAGCACCATCCGATAAATTTTATTATGAAAAAGTTAACAAGGCTTAACCAAGATATTTGCACAAGTTCATTGGATGTCATCTGCGTCAAGGAATGAAGTACAGGAATTATATACACACCTGGAATCCATATTTCATACTCACATGGCCAGATGCCATGTTGATCAATATTCGTGGGATAAAAAATGGACTAAGCCGACGAAGTCTCTGCAATGAAAGAGCCTAGATATTAGATTAAGTGTTTCCATCAGCACAAAGCTCATTACAAAATACAGACAGAAAATACGCAAGGAGATAATGACAATTGTAACGAATTACATGGTGGTAATAAGCAATGATGATAAAACAATAACTAAAAGGTTGTTTTAATTCCTTTGACATGTTAAAGGAGAATAATAAGGTTACCTTCTCACAAATCATTTGTGAAGCATCCAATATATCAGTGATACTTCCAATTCCCCCACCAATAGAGACACCCTGGTATTCTTCATGTTAAAGAAAATATATTCATCATCAAAAAATTTAATTAAACGTGCTATTACATACTCCACAAATAACAACCAATTACCGTTCTTTCCTTCTGTTCCTGTTCAGTAGGTACCCAGTTTGCATCCTTTAGAGCTTCATCAGCAGCACATAATGCGTACCCAATAAACCTTGAAATCGACCGATGCTCCTAATAAACACAAACAATAACAGTACAAAAATGCTACTGAATTAAGCCATTATTTCATATACCCAACTCACTAGAAATGAAAAAGTAATCAAACCTTAGATTGAAGCCACAATTCCTCATTGAATTCACCAGAGCCAGTTCCACATGGCACAATTGCAGCAACTTTAGAGGTTAATTGATCAAATGTATACAACTGAGTTTCTCTATCGAACGTATTCATTCTGAGATCATCAGGCGTTATAGCTCTTATTCCACATTTGCCCTCTATCAACCGCGTCCATGTGGTTTCCACTCCACAACCAAGTGGAGTTACCATGCCTAAACCTGAAAAGAGCTGCTCCAGTTATACAAACGGTGTCACTTGTATAGATAAATGGAGAAAGAGTAAATAGAGATTTGTGTTACCGGTGACGACAACTCTGCGGGGAGTGATCGGGGGAGGAGGACCGAATGTATGAGAAGGAGAAGAGGAAGATAAGTAGCGAGTGAATCGAGAGCGAGAAGAAGATGATAATCTACGGAAAGTAGAAGAAATTGCCATGGTTTTTTTTTTATCGTTTCAGTTCAGCGCTTCAAGTAGTGTAATGTTGCTGCTACTGAGTTAGAGAATGAAAGAGTTGCACACTGCACAGCGGCAGCAACTCAATTTGGCACACGAGTGGTATCTGTGTCTTTTTCTTTTACTTTTTTTTTTTCTTAAAAAGGTAACGCCGCAGTGGTAATGTTAAAATTGAATAAATTCATTTTGCTATATAGTATTTTAATTTTTTTTTATTTTTTATTTTCACAATCTTCTCTTTTAATTATTACTAGTTTTTTTTATAACGTGATTTGTAAGTTGATTATGCTCGTTATGTATTTGTACTTTTTTTTAATTGCTTTTTTTATTTATATCATATTAAAGCATAAATATTTATTTAGATTAAAATAAATATAATTGCTGAATTTATATTGGACTTTGCCATACAAGTTACTTCTAATGTTATTTTTTATGTACTTAATTCTATTTGTTTATTATGAAGTGACCTTCAACCCAATCCTTAGACCTAATCTTTCATTATCTAATTTATAAATATAAATTTTTAAAATCTTAATAAGTGTCCAAAAAGAAAATTAAATTATTATTCAATCTTCAATGTTCTACCCTCAACTCTAAATCAATATCTATATACAATTATAATGAAAAATAATAATAAATTATTTTTTACTATTTGGTAAAGAAAAGAACTGAGCAGATGATCTAAATTGATAATGGTAATTATTTTGGCTATAGTGATTGTCCTACTTGCCCAGTGCATTACAGAAATGAATATATATATATACACACAAATTCTTGAAACCCTAAAAGTAATTCAAAACAGAAATATATAGTTCTAGTTTTTTTCCAGTTTTATAAATATTATTTTCTTTCAAATCAAATAGATTTAAAATATAGTAGAAAAAATATTAAAAAAATTAAAAATACTTAATCATCAAGCAAGGAGATATAAATCTCTTACTAAATTAAATTGATAGTAGTTACAAATAAATTTAGTAACAAAAAAAATAAAAAATTTAAAAATTTTGTTATTAAGAAAAAGAAAATAAAAAATAAAAAATAGTGCTTTATAAACACCATTTTCTTTCAAGCCAAACATATTTAGAATATAATACAAAAAATATTAAGAAAATTAAAAATATTTAATAATCAAAAGTTTATCTATTTATTATAAGGGAGATATAAATTTCTTACTAAATTAAAGTGATATAAGTTATAAATTAATTCATTAATGAAAAAGAAAAACAAATTGCCAATTTGAATTTTAAAAAAAATCAAATTATATAACTATTTCAAAATTAACAGTTTCAAATTATGTAACTCTTTAATTAGAAATGTTGTAATTTGATGTTGATAGACAAGAAAAAAAAAAAAAAGATTATAGCCAAGTCAATAAATGAAAATTACAAAGCAAATAATGTTAGAATCTAATTTTGTTTGTCTATTTTTCTAAGTTACACGGAAATAAATATAACGCCTATCGAAGCATTTACAGCAATAGTGATAAAATATGCCTTTATACAATATGTGTAAAAGTAACTTATAGTGTACATACGGATATTTTTGCACTCACATAGTAAATGTTTCCTCAAATCTCTAGCCGGTAACTATGTGAAAATTTAATGTAACAAGGTGACCCTTTTAATGTCTAGTCTACGACTCAAATCCAATAAACGTGCTCGTTAGATAGTTTCTAATAATGTGTGCTTCGCTATACCTTCTTCGCTACGCCATTTGTTATTATTCTGTCAATTATAGGTGTGCAAGAAATCATTACAAACCTGTCATAAAAGAATGAGCAAGGATCTGATTGCAAATTTAATTAATGAGATATGTTTTAATGACAGGTGCGCGCATCACTCATACTTTCATAGTAATAAAGATTTTTGACAACTGAAGTTCAAAGTTGGAATATGTCTAATCTCCGCGTTATTCCACTGCAAACGCGTGAATGAATTTTGGTAATCTCTCGCAAGATTAACACCGCGTACTATAACCTATTTAACTTGAATTGAACTAGCGAAATACCCTATGTCAATTTTTACCTTATTACTGAGCTTATGTGTGCCCTAAACTTCTATAGAACCTGGTACATTGTTTTTTTGATATTCATCAATATTCGTGCAGAGGTGAATATAAAAAGAAAATGACTGAAAAGTCCTGCGATGCTCCGTCAAATAGTCTTTACCAGCCTAGACATAAAATAAATGTGTAACTAAAAGGCCATTTTATTTAAAATATACTGATATATAGAGTATGTTATATTCCAATACAAGCCTTATCATGAACTTTAACATCAAAATTACATTACAATATACAAGAAGTAACTGTTCTATAAGTTTTCAGGAAGCGAACCTAATACCTAAGGATTAATCAGTAACTCACTATCTGTAAACTTAGAAATATTACCCAGAATTTAATCATTTGAGAAATCTCTTAATCATTGGGTATATTAAATTTATTGAAAGACTTTCGAACAATGAATTAATTCAAAAAACAGATGTAAATTATAAAAGAGATCTAGTGTTTTATTCTATCTATGAAACAATTGTGTAAGGGGAACGGAAAATTAAATAAAAGGTACATACTTTCTTTTGAACAATAATAGGCATTTCGTAGGAGAGAAGTTCAATTTAATTTGAAATATAACAGTAGATAATTTCAACTTCCCCATTTTTCTTTTTATTCAATACAGACGTTTTGAAAGCGCGAAGACTCGGTAATTTCTTCATGTTAAAGAAAGCTGTCGACGCACAAAAACTTCATTTCGAATAAATCAAAAAGATGATTTTAAACTTAAAACCTTTGTGAGGAAATGTGACATTTCTACTCATCAATACTGAACAAAAAAACTTATATTACGAGTTCATATGATACTACTCCTACCTGGTGATGTTTAAGTAGCGTGCCTGTCTACAATGGTTCAAATGGCGATAAAATGGGGACAATGATGATATGACGAATGTTACTAAAGTAGAGGTGATGATGGCGAGCAGTGCCACAATAAGATGTCTTAATGGTGCTTAGTACAATATCATGAAATGTGATGTATAGGATACACGTACACGCATATGCTCTCTAAATTTATATACCAACAGAAAATGTGACCCAAAGTACAATAATACATGTACTGAAAATTAAGGCCCATTATTCCATATACAATGGTACCCTAAGAAAATGAAAAAGTGAAATAACATAAGTAATCAATAAATTTATGAATAATATGATAAATGACTTTCAAAATCTACTTTATTTCTGAGAACGTTCATCATAGAAGGTCCAAATAGGTCTTGAATTGTGTGCAACCGATTTCCTTGTCCGGAAGTGCATTCCTATCTAGGTGCAGACTTATGTTTCTTATAACGCCTCTGAAAAGTTCCAATAAATTTATGTGCTCAATCTTTTAGCAGAATACGATGAAAGATAAGTATTCTCTCAAGGACGATATGTGCAATTATATCCCTTTGAAGTTATTTCCAGTCTAAAGGCGTTCATATATTAGGTCATTTTTTATTTCACATAGTTTGTCTTTGCTGTATCCTTAACTTTTTGCCTGAGAGAACGGTCAATGTTGAGGTTTGTCACCCTCAAGACAAGGAATCTACATAATAATGTGGTGATAATAAGTTTTGTCTACTAGAGACCTTTTATTAAAGATAAATCTTGTAACATACAAGCTTACCTTTCTACAGGCTATAATTTAAGCAATACCGGACACGAAGTGGTTGTCAATGTAATAAAAGAAATAATATTGAGGTAAGTAGAGGTAAAATCGCGAAGCCAACATTTCGCTGTTAACGTGAACAATCCAATAATACCTCCTCGTCTTTCTGTGGGTAGTTTGAATGGGGGGTATAGATGAGGAGAATTTGCTCATTAAATGCATTCGGCATAAATGTTATATTAGTGATAAGGGCAAAAGAGAAAGGCGGAATAATGTTAGGGTGACGCTAGGCATCTCAAACATCTGAGAAGAGGGATACATGAAGACGGGTCAATGATTATCTACACGAAATTGAGCTCTTTAAGAGAATGGGAACTGGTTATTTTTTGTCTGAAAATAGAAAAATATTACGTGGATGCATGAAATGTCACAACATCATGTACAGCTTTATTAACATAACTATGCTAAGGATTCCGACATTTGCGGAGTTGGTGTGACAGCAGCCTGTCATTCAAGTTCTAAGGCTGTAAATGTTGCCCTGCCTTACTGGAAGCTCAACTCTTTATATCTGTGAGCTAAAACCCACTGACAAAGAAGTATTTTGCACTGAAAGTTCGGGTATTATGCAAACATTCCCATTATGGATCCGATTTCCTACCGGGAAAGTTTTGGGTTCTATCGTGTTGACTCAATTTTCATACATGTACGTTTGTGTTTTGTCCATGTAAAAAATTGGAGCTAGACAGGTCAGTAAACATCTCGGAAATGAATGCGTGTTTAATGTTAAAAAATGAAATTAAAATTCATTTGGTCAGCTTAAAATTAAATCTAAGGTGATTTATTAAATATATCTCATTTATTAATTGATCTTTATTCAACGCTAGTCCTTCCTCTTTAGAGGTAGATTAACTAGTTTAGTTTATTACTTATAGGTTTTCGACTATATTGGCTAATAACTGGGTTTTTAGTCCTAGATTTATGGCTTACAGATATGATCATGTGCCTGCTTGTCCTAGGCCTAAATTACACTGTACCGTATTTTTTCTCTCGTGAATTGCTTTTTGTGCTTATTTATTATACTTATGCATCATTCCAATGTAGCGCTTCTCAAATGATTGTGAACTGTCACCTTATTATATAGATTAAAATAAATATAAAAAAAAATTGCTGAATTTATATTGGACTTGTACAATGTTAACCTTCCTAATTGTGTGTTTTACTTATTAGTGGCTATAAGCGTTAATTCTATTATTTTTTGTTGTGATTATAGTTTGGAACAAAAAAATTCTCAGGTAGTGACTTCAAACAATCCTGGATGTACCTACTAGAATAATCCTTTCATTAAATACCATAAATTTAATATAAATAAACTTGCTCTGTAGAAAAAATTCGGTAGATTTAAAAGGCTTGTGAAAAAGAATTAATCCACCGATCTCTAAAGTTTATTACAACCTCTTCAAGATGTGTTCATCCGAAGGGTCTATATAGCGGTAAATCGAAAGCTGATTAGAAGTAAGCAGAATAAGTAAATTACGTTATAATAAGACAAGAAAAATAATAATATAACCTAAAAGTGAAAAAGAAAAATTATAAATTTAGGAAAGGCATTATATAAGGACCATAATTTGGTAACGAAGATTAAAGAAATTGAAGTCAACGAGTCGGCCTTTCTAATTATCCTAACAATTTTGAATTAATTAGAAATGAAGAGTGTAGAGATCTTTATTTGTGGTCTATTAGTAGAATTTTCTCTCGTAATCCCTGCAACTACTTGACAAGTGTCAATTACAGGAATAATTATATTAAAATAAATTAACCATGGTGTATGGATTAGTTAGGTATATAGCAGATGCACCACAAATATGTTAGAAAACGTCTAAGACCAAAGTATTCTCCCAAAGTTTTTCCTCGAGCCAAATGATTATATTCAACGTTCTCCTTAGTTCCGTATTTTAAGTTTGAGTCAGAACTATTATTTTCTTTTCCAAAATCAAATAAGTAAATTTAAAATCACGTAAGCTAAAAAAACTGAACAATTTCAGAGTAATAAATATTATTAGAAAATAAAGTGATCCTTTAATCATTTTCATGGACAAGGAGAATAATGATTCATAGATATATTAAATATCCAATCTTACCTAAAATGGTGGACAAACCCTAAACCTTATGTTTAGAATGCAGTGAGCTCTCTCTCTCAATAAATTAGTAGTAACAAAAAAATAAAAATTATGTCGAATAAAAATTTTTCTGTTAAATTAAGGAGTACAATATATAATGAAAATAAAAAAAATAATTATTATGAATGTGCTTGTCTTAGCCAATAACCCAACATAAATTTTACATCAAGCAAAACATATTGGTTAAGTAATTATTAATAACTCAGGAAGAACCGTTTAATCTCTCAATATAAAATAATATTTTTTAATATTTTAATAATGCAACATTAACGATTTATTATAAACCTCAATTTTATTATTTTATAGAGAGGCAGATTCTATAAAATTTTCTTAACCTTAAATTAAAAGGATGAATAATTTGATGCTTATAAGGAATAATTAATTTCCATTAATGTGAAAAAAGAAAAACAACATGCTATTACCGCCACGATAATATATCGAAATCGTATTTCATAAAGGAGATAAATCAGGGAAATTTGTGAAAGTGGTAATATTCTTACGAAATCGGATCTCCAGTATGAAAAAAGACCCTTTCAAATTATGTAACCTTTTAAATTAAAGAATGTGTGTATAAGTTCTCTGCGGTGGTGGAAAATAAGACAACACAAGAAAGAACAACTACAATAATATAATAAAACAAATTAAGATTCATATGTTCTACAGTTTATAATTTGAAATTGTGTGAAGAAAAAGGTCCAATGTCAATATAATAATGTGTTAAGGCAAACACAAATCCTTTTTGTTTGCCTGAACAAATAAATTCGAATCTCTTGAGTTATTAGTTGCCTTATAAAAGATAAGCATGCGGTAAATCAATTTTGCTAATTGTAAACTTTCATGTTTCCCATAGATAACAATAACAATTCCACAGAAGAGATTCATTGAAACAGTATTGTCAGTAAAAATTCACTTATAATTCCGAACCACATCCAACCATTCTATAACCCCATAAGTTCATATATTATTAAGTTTTAATAAATACATTTTTAGAAATCAAAATGTCCGATCTTACATTTTAGCCATATTACATTTTGAAGGTAAAGGCGGAAGTTACTCTCACAAAATATAATTTAAATACCTGTAGATATCCTTTTTAAATACTTATGAACAAACCCTTAATATTAATCTATATCCTCAGCATTTGGACTGAATATACTAATACCTCTAACAATCATAGAGCGACATAATAGAAATACTCTTCGCTGAATACAAATCCCAAAAAAAAAAGATTATAGCCAAGTCAATAAATGAAAATTACAAAGCAAATAATGTTAGAATCTAATTTTGTTTGTCTATTTTTCTAAGTTGTATAAAAGAAACATGCTATCTTTGCCAAAGAAACCATTAATTTTCTGTACAACCATACAGAGAAGAAAAGTAAGTATCTATATGTATTTATTTAATTTTCTTATCTATATGTATTTATTTAAAAATAACTTTTAGAAATTATATCCAATCAAATAATAAAATTTAATATTTTTTTTTTATCTTAACTATAATTATCTCGAGCCCATTGGACTAAAACTAAATCTTACCTGCATTGAATATTTGCTTCATCATGAGAATCAAAGTCTCAACTTCACTTAAGGAAGAAGAGTGCCGAACCACTCATCCATACATTTGTCGGTATGAAATGTAATTTTTGAATTGACTATGACTAAAGTTATTTTAGAATATTAAATTTCATAAAGAGTGATATCGAAAATCTCATTATTCCTCATATTTCCACATTTATATATAGTGTAGATAGATTGTCATTATTATTTTTTAAAGCTATTATTATTATTATTATTATTATTATAGATCAATTCAATTGTTAAACATGAGAGATTCTTTTTTTATTAATTGAACTTTAACTTAGCTGAAAAATATTCAATAAATAGTTAAATACTCTATATATTTTTGAATGCATTAGGATCCTAATTACACATTGCTTTTAAAATTATGAAGCTTTTACATATTTCTTGTCTTTTAAATTAAATCATATTTTAATTATGGGTAGATCTCAAATGATATGAAAAACTTCCCTTCGAGTCCTACATACAGTTTCGTTTAATATATATTTATGAGATTGACTTTAAATTGAGTATCGTGTTCCTCAATTTTCTTGCTAGGATTGAAAATCCTCTATTTTACATATCCATACAATTGAGCCTTTATGCTTTTGAAACAGTGTAAAAAAAAAATGTTTAGAATCATTGAGTCCTCATGCTTCCGAAACAGTGTATAAAGAAGTGTTTCGAATCATTGCTATTTAACTCAGACCTGTCCTAAAAAAGCAATCGATAGGATCAATACATATATCCCTTCAACACAGCATAGGTCTTAATAATAATCTCATACTAAAGTATAGGAAAACGCCAAAATGAGAAAACTAAAGTACTAAAAAACCAGAGCAAAGGCCAAAAATCTGGAGTAGGGGCCAACCTAAGGAGGCTGGAGTATGGGGCGGAGGAAATTAGAAAAAAAAAAAAAAAAAAAATTAGAAAAAAAAAAAAAAAAAAAAGGAATAAAGAGGTGGAAGTTTTTGAAAATAAAAAAATAATGGGGTTAGATGAAATCAGACTGAATAAAACTAATAATAAAAATTTATGAATAGAATTTTAAACTTAATAATATAATTCCCTCAAAATTAAAAAAAAAAAAAAAAAAAAGGATAAAGAGTGGAAGTTTTTGAAAATAAAAAAATAATGGGGTTAGATGAAATCAGACTTGATAAAACTAAAAATAAAAAATTTATGATAGAATTTTAAACTCTAAATAATATAATTCCTCAAAATTCTGAAATAATAAAATTAACATTTATTTAAAAGCATAAAATTTTATTCATTAAAAAATTTGATGGTTTACAACTACAAGAGCACAGGTAATAGTAACAAAAGAAAAAAAAAAATTGACAATTTGGATAGTTAATAATTCGAAATGTTGAACATCACTAAAATGATCATCTACGCTGCAACTTCAACAATAATAGTGCAGAAATTGTCAACAGTTGATTATTATATTCACATTTTGAGCATACTGCATATAAATAACGGGTGTCTATTCATATATGCCTGCAACCTTAACCCCACAACCTTCCCTTACATATAATTTACACACAAAAAAAAAAAAAAAGAAAAAAAAGAAAATAAACAACAATCGTGTATATTTTTATTACACAAAATTGTGGAGGATTCATAACAAAAACCATATGGTGTTTTGAATCAACTTGAAATGCTACAAAGTAAAAGCTGATAGCTCTAACCATATCAGCAAAGAAATTTACATATTTTGAGAATGTGAGTCCAATTTGTTGGAAAAGAAAGTCTAATATTATTATTATTATTATTTTTTGGTTTTGAGTATTCAGGGGGAGAGATCCGAACTCGGATAGTTGGGTCTGTGTCTAAGTTGTATGTGCACTTACTAAAAAAGACTCTTCATCTTAAAACAACGTTTAGCTTGCTCTGCACTTGTTCTCTCACATTCCACTGCATTCAAATCATTTTATGAAGATGTTTTGGATTTTTAATCCTATGGAAAATAAATAACTTGATAAAATACAGAAGAACAATCCTCGAAATGAAATACCTGCAAATTGTTAATTTCCTCATCTGTTAATGAACGTTCCATTGAACGATAAGCAATCCTATAACAATGGCTTGTCATTCCTTTCTTGTTGGTGAAATTATCTATCAAGCTCACCTGAGCCACAAATAAATAACCAACAAATGTAAGATTAACTGCATAATCAAACGCCACAGGTACCAACTCAAGCTCAACATTTTTGGACTCAATTTTGACGTTGAAATACCCAAAAAAAATGACGTGAAATAGACCTACAGCAATTACCCCTTTACTAGAGAAAATTGTGAATTATTTCTGCAGTTTGAAGCTTCCTCTTTGAGTCAAAGCTGTTAAACTTAAAAGTCCGGATAATAAGATGGCCAACACAATAGCTTTTATTCTTTTTGAGCTTTATTAGGAGTTTCTAGTCAAGTAAAATTTCAAACCAATTTTTCTAGTCAAAGCCTCTTATGCCGTTTTGTACAAAACATTCTATCCAACAAAAAGAAAATCAAATACAATACAATATTTCTCTATTTTCATTTTCTTGTCTCCTAGTTGTGTCAAAAAAACAAAAATTGTTCTCTTTTTTTTCCCCATCACCTGCACATCCTTAAAGGAGCATCAACCTAATTGAACACTACAATCATTTTTCTCTCTCGTTCTGCATATCTATTCTCTTCCCAATGCTTTGTACATTTCTCCATCCTTAAGCAACAGAAGAAAGAACCAAAAAGGCAGCATAACAAGATAAACAAGGGAGAGGGAAAAATTTAGATAGCAACCACAAACAGATTTTTTTTTTTGAAAAGAGGTTGAAATTTTAGAGAGGAACAAAAACTTGTTAAAAGACCATAAATAGTAACTCAAAAGTCATAAAAAATTCTGTAGCTCTCCAAAAACAAAGAATATTCACAGATAAGTACCAAAAAGGAAGCCTGCCTTGTACTCAGCATGGCAAAGAAAAAGAAGAAACTAAAACAATGACTAACCCAAATAAGAAAAGAATTACTGAGCCAATATCCAACATTTAGCATACTCTCAGAAATTATTGATTAGTTTGATTTGTTTATTAAACTCAGAAGCCTCAAGTCAGACCACACAGAAAAGAGCAAAAGATACACCTAGATTGAATTTTGAAACTGCTTCATTTATTCCCTCAATCCAGCATGGTTGCATTCTCAAGAAAAGGCAAACGCTATCAGCTTTCTTGGTCAACTCTAAATGCAGCAAAAAACATACAAAAAGACAGGCATCCCTCACTTGAATTTTAAAACAGAAGATAATTTAAAAGAACTTTAGAACCTCAAAATGGCCAAAGTCAGTGCCATTTGAAGCTTACAGAAAGAATAAGGATTGGTAAATAGTATGATTTCTCCACAAACATACAATAATTGAATTGTGTACATCTAGTAGAACATCCAAGAGAGAATAAATAGGAAATATGGTTATCATAGAGTCATTAGGTCCATGGTCGACTCAAAGACAAGGAATGAAAAGCTGGAAAAACTCATCCCAAAATGGAATCTCTGTTTAACTTATGCTAATTACTCCCTCATCATTAAAACCACGCTTCAGAACTTCCAGCAACAATTACTTCAGTCTAGACAGCATCTTCAACCACCAACAAATATTTTAATGATACTTGGTATATGCACATGTATACCCGTGGTAATAAAGTAAATTTTATTTGTTTTTCTCAGCATATTTAACTTAATTCAATATCCTGTAAATTATTATGTGAAGGGATTTTATCACCGTAATAGATGTTACTGACTTGCAGGCTGAAAATAAAAAGTAACCCTATAATATGAAATTAAAGCCAATATAGTAGGCTAAACAGGAAAAAAATAAGCCAATCTTTCACAAACTATAAATATTAGAAAAAGTTAACAAGCATCTAAATCCATACCTCCTCAACAAGATCCCCAGCAACTCCTCTGACAATTTCACATAAATTGTTTTCAGTGAATGATTCATTGATCCAAAAACTCATGTCTTTATAACAAGGAGGATACTGCAAAAGAAATATCCACATTTAAGTATTGCTTACCCAGTCTTTTTCATGAACAGAGGGCACCAAAAGAAAAAGAAATACATAGACATAGGGCAATGCAATCAAACCTTTGAGAATGGCTTGAATTTGACACCCAATTGACCACTAGAAAACTATATAGAAGGAGAGAACTCCAAATAGTTATTCAGGTGTATTAGAGGACAGAAAAACAAAAAAGGTCAACTTAAGGCATTAAAGCACTAGCCTAAAAATGAACTCATCTAAAACATTTATGTAACAAAGAAGTAAAAAATCAACATTACCGTAATTCAGGACTGACCTGAGAAGTAAAGCGCTCATCATTTGACCAGAAGAGCCGAATATCAGGTATGTCAAATAGTACCATTGCCAGACGCTCCAATCCAAGCCCAAAAGCCCAAGCAACATTTTGAGGTCTACCATTTGTCTTTAAAATTTCTTGCTCAGTCACACCACAACCTAAGACTTCCAACCACTTCTCCTGAAAAATCATTGGCCATCAGTTGGTCAGTCAAATGTACTAGATTATTTTTATGAAGGAAGCAATCATAATATTTGCAAGGCCAACATGATTTTTTCCAGAAGGTCCTTTATATGCTATACATGCGAAGAGTGTTCTTATAGTGTTCATCTGTTCACATACTGTCCACATCACCAAGGTAGTTCTTGTTTTGGGTCCCATACTTTCAATCCCTATAACAATAGTTTATCTTAATTTGCTAATATGAATACCCTAATTCCTCTCATTCCACAAGTATTTGATTTTGAACAAACCTGAATTGAATTTCAGAGCTGTCCATAAAAATTCTGTTACCAAACCCCTGCAAGTATATTCCCGTTATACCCATGGTCCTAAGTCCAAGTCACCAGTAATTGAGTTGCTGAATTAGTCAGCAGTAGTTGTTCTCTTTCTGTTTTGATTCTGTTTCAACATTCCTGCATCTGAATTAGTCAGGCAGTAGTTGTTCTCCTTTCTGTTTTTGATTCTGTTTTCAACATTCCTGCATTGTTAGGAGGGTATTCCCTCCCATTTCCTATTTTCTTGTTGTTAGTGGGAGGTTATTCCCCATATAGAAAGTAGGTGCTCCCTTGTATGTAGGGAGTAGTCCCATTTCTGCACTTGTATATATTCAGCAAATCTGATGAATAAGGACAGACTGTTAAAACCCCAATATTTAAGTCTTCTTTGACTGAGGTTTTTCAGGCTCCCTTAACGATCTGACTTTTCTTGTCTTCCACCATAGTCGCTCAGGGAACACCCTAACCCAAACACCGCAAACACCACCCCTCCTACTACCCATCGACCCATAAACTAGATGCCCGTTAGCCGGGACATAACAGTTTTGGTATCAGAGCCAACAGTTTATGGGAGATTCTTGTTCAGACGCAAACTGGCTTAAGCTGCTTACTTGTTATTAGCTGAGCAACAATCCAACAAGGAACTGCACGCCAAATTCCGATGCTCTAACTTAGGAAATGGGAATGCCACTAAAAAGGATTTCCACAAAAAAAAAAAACCCAGTACTGGAAGTCCAGCAAGCTTACGGAGAGATAGGGGAATTTCGGGTACTGCGAATTCTGAAAAATCTGGAGGAAGCTCATTTGTACCGAAATTCACAAAACTGGATTTTCCTCGCTATGATGGGAAAGATGACCCTTTAGGATGGCTAAATCGTTGCAAACACTTCTTTCGGCACCAACAAACTCCGGAAGAAGAGATGGTTAGTTCAGCTTCATACCATCTCGAAGGAATTGCCCAACTTTGGTACATGCAGTTGCTGGATGACATTCCGAATCCCTCTTGGGCTGAGTTTTCTCACCAATGTAACCTCCGTTTTGGGCCTCCAATCCGCAGCAACAAACTTGGTGAATTAGCTAAACTGAAGCAAACGAATTAGCTAAACTGAAGCAAACGGGGTCTGTCGCGGACTACCAGAATCAGTTTGAGACTCGTGTCCCGGGCTGGAACTCTCACTCAACACCAGAAGGTCCAATTATACCTTAGTGGTTTACAAGACTCCATTGCGGTTGAAGTGGAGCTTCACCATCCCACCGATTTGGTTAATGCTATGAGCATTTCTCAGCTGTATGAACGCAAACTGTTTCCACGTTCTTCAGCTGCGAGAGATACTTGTCGCGCTGCAATTCCACCTGACAACCGCGCCAATCGGATACTGAGGAGGCTGTCCCATGATGAAATGGAGGAGAGGCGAAAGAAAGGACTCTGTTTTAATTGTGATGAGCAGTTTGTTCGAGGCCATCAATGTAAGAAATTGTTCTGGATTGATTTGGAAGAGACGGAAGATGTAGGAAGATGTAGAGGATTTCACAATTGATCCAGAAATTTCTTTGAATGCCATTACTGGAATTCGAAATCCTCAGTCCATGAGGTTCATAGGCAGCTGGATGCTTGGGCAAGTCTTGATCCTCATCGACTCCGGCAGCACTCACAGTTTTGTTTCTGCCGCAAACGTTGAGGAACTGAATGCTGTGGTAAACAAACAGAATGGTTTAAAGGTACAAGTTGCCAATGGCGAGCAACTTACTAGCCCAGGTATTTGTAAGGGAATTCCGGTTCTTCTGAAGTCTAATTCTTTCATGGTTGATTTGTTTGTTTTACCCTTAACCAATTTCGATATGGTTTGGTTTTGGGGGTTAATTGGCTTCGAACCTTGGGACCCATTCTGTGGGATTTCACCGTTATGAGCATGAGCTTTTATCAACAGGGCCACTTAGTGACATTGCAGGGTATTACTTCTTCAAGCTCTTCCCACGATTCAGATCTGAACAACATGCAGATTTCATCTGTCCCAGACATCCAACTCCAGAAATTATTGGCGGAATTTGCTTCCTTATTCAATGCTCCTACTGGGCTGCCCCCTAGCAGATCTTGTGATCATCGTATTCCCCTAATCCATGGAGCTGGTCCTGTGGTAGTTCGACCATACCGTTACCCTCATGGTCAGAAGGACGACATGGTCAGAAGGACGAGATTGAAAAGTAATGTGCTACATTACAGCAGGGAATCATTCGTCCCAGCCGTTCCCCATTCTCGTCGCCGGTGACTCTGGTTCCCAAAGCTGATGGTTCCTGGTGCCTTTGTGTTGATTACAGAGAATTAAATGCCAAAACCATCAAAGACAAATTCCCTATTCCAGTTATCGACGAATTATTGGAGGAATTGGGTGGAGCTAAGTTCTTCTCAAAGTTAGATCTGCTTTCGGGTTACTTTCAGGTGGGGATGCATCTTGCTGATATTGAGAAAACAACATTCCGCACTCACCACGGACACTTTGAATTCCTGGTGATGTCGTTTGCATTATCCAACGCTCCCTCAACTTTTCAGGCCGTAATGAACGAGGTATTCCAACTTTACTTACGGAAATTTGTACTCGTCTTTTTTGACGATATTTTGGTTTTCAGTCAATCCTGGGCAGAAAACATCCACCATTTGCGGCTAGTTTTCCAATTGCTGTTATAGAACCAATTGGTCCTCAAACGGTCGAAGTGTGTCTTCGGTCAATCTCAGATTTCTTATTTGGGTCATATTATTTCTTCCCAAGGAGTGCAGGTGGATCAGTCCAAAATTGCTGCTGTATTGGAATGGCCAAAGCCCAACACCATTCGTGGGTTGCGTGGATTCCTAGGGCTCACAGGTTATTATCGCAAGTTTGTGCAGAATTACGGCATCATTGTTGCCCCCCTCACTGCTATGCTGCGTAAAAACAACTTCCACTGGACTGATCACGCTATCGATGCATTCCAGAAGTTAAAGGTGGCCTTGACATTTACTCCAATCCTGATTCTACTCCAATCCTGATTCTACCGAATTTTGATCTAACTTTTGTTATAGAATGTGACGCTTCTGGTACAGGGATTGGAGCAGTCTTGTTACAACACAACCAGCCAGTCGCATATTTCAGCCGTTCCTTGGCAGCTCGTCATCAAAATCTTCCGGCTTATGAGCGAGAATTGATGGGCTTAGTGAAGGCAATAAAGAATTGGCATTCCTATCTGTGGGGACGTGAATTTATTGTTCGGACCGATCATTACACATTGAAATATCTGCTTGAGCAGCACCATCTCTCAGCAACTCAACAACATTGGATTAGCAAGCTCCTGGGTTTTTCTTTTACTGTTGAATACAGGACTGGCAAATCTAATGTGGTGGCGGACGCTCTTTCTCGACAGAATGCCGATGATTCAATCCTTATGGCTGTAATCCTTATGGCTGTTTCCATTGCCTCAACTTTCAGTTTGTTTGATGAGAATTCGGAAGGAACTAGTGATTCACCAGCAATTCCAGCAACAAAAATCTCTGCAGATAACCAGCAGATTCCCAGCAAGTCGCCTTCAAAATGGGTTTTTTCGGGATGGGTTTACTCCTTCTACAATACATAGTTTACCTGCCTCCCGATTCCGCCATCAATTCAGCTGGTTGTTAGTCGCTCTTTCACAACCCAAAGTCATGAAAGGTTACCTAAAATAATTAAATAAGGTGGCGACTCACACATTCACGTGCATTTCTGCCCTTAGTCATATTCATTATATGCCAATATTTGGGGTAGGGGTTCACAGCGGCATAAAACTGACACATTACAACCGGCTGGACTCCTTCAACCTTTGCCCATTCCCACTCAAATTTGGGCTGATATCTCCATTGACTTCATAGAGGGCATTCCCACTTCACGCGGAAAGAATGTTTTAATGGTTGTCGTTGATCGGTTCTCAAAGTATGGACATTTTCTAGCTCTCACTCACTCGTTCACCGCTGTAAGTGTTGCTCGCACCTTCTTTGACAACATTTTTAAATTACATGGGTTGCCAGAAACTATGGTCAGTGACAGGGATGTGACTTTCACAAGTTCTTTTTGGTATTCCGTTTATGTGGGACCAAGCTATGTTTCAGCTCCTCTTACCATCCACAATCTGACAGACAGACAGAGGTTGTGAACCGTACTGTTGAAATGTATCTCCACTGTTTCACTAGTTCATCGCCATCAAAGTGGATTGATTGGTTGTCTTGGGCCGAATACTACTACAATACCAGCTACCATACCTCACTTAAATCCACACCTTTTGAGACTGTTTATGGTCGACCACCTCCTCGACTATTACCTTTTGAGACTGTTTATGGTCGACCACCTCCTCGACTATTATCTTACTTGCATGGCAGTTCTTCAATTGAAGCGGTTGATACTGTTCTGCACCAACGGGATGACATGCTGCACCTACTTCGCCAAAATCTGTTACAAGCCCAAAATAAGATGAAAGCCACTTATGATCAGTCCCACCGTTCACTGGAATTTAAAGTTGGTGACATGGTTCTGCAGCGTTTAAAGGCATATAGACAACAGTCAGTTGCAAAAAGAACTAATCACAAGCTGTTCGCCAGGTTTTACGGACCCTTTCGGGTTCTGGAACGCATTGGCACCATGGCCTATAAACTAGACCTTCCAGCAGAGTCCAAGATCCACCCTGTTTTCCATATTGTGTTCTATCTCAAACGCCTATCATTGCCGGTCAGCCTGTCACTCCAAGGCAGTTACCAGCCTACCCAGTTCTTTTGGAGGAATCTGTCCATCCTTTAGCTGTTCTGGAATCATCGGTATCAAAGGAGGAGTTCCAGAGGTTTGAATTCATTGGAGTCATTTCTTCACGCAGCAGTTCACCAGCAGATGCTTCGTGGGAAAGGGTCCAGCATATAACAGACAAGTTTCCAGACTTCCAGCTTGTGGACAAGCTTCCATTGGGGGCGGGAAGTAATGTTACCAAACCCCTGCAAGTATATTCCCGTTATACCCATGGTCCTAAGTCCAAGCCACCAGTAATTGAGTTGCTGAATTAGTCAGCAGTAGTTGTTCTCTTTCTGTTTTGATTCTGTTTCAACATTCCTGCATTGTAGGAGGGTATTCCTCCATTTCCCTATTTTCTTGTTGTTAGTGGGAGGTTATTCCTCCATATAGAAGTAGTCTCCTTGTATGTAGGGAGTAGTATTTCTTTTTGCACTTGTTATTATTCCTCCATATAGAAGTAGTGCTCCTTGTATGTAGGGAGTAGTTATTTCTGCACTTGTATATATTCAGCAAATCTGATGGAATAAGGCAGACTGTTAAAACCCAATTTAAGTCTTCTTGACTGAGGTTTTAGGCTCCCTTTAACGAGTCTGACTTTTCTTGTCTTCCACCATAGGTTGCCCAAGGAAACACCCTAACCCAAACACCCAAACACCAACCCCTCCTACTACCCATCGACCCATAACTAGATCCGTTAGCTGGGACCATAACAAATTCCTTATGCAAAAATTTCCTACATGAAAGTAGAGCAATTTACTGTTTCCATTATTACAATAATAGTGTCAGATATTTTCTGAATGCACTTGTTACAAAGCTGCATCCTCTGAATCTAAAACCAAACAATTACACCAATTTCTTAATTTTCTGTTCAACCATCATTACATCCTTTGACCCTTATGTAACTTGCTGAGATTTATACTTACCTAAGTTTTCCTCATTGACCATCCTTCTAAAGCAAGAATAAAACTCATAACTACTTTTTCTGCCATAAACATTAAACAAAATCACAACCTCACATAATTCATCTGGCCATTGACAAATACATATTCACGAAAATGTTTATTAAATTTTTACCATATTATTTTTCCCTCCCACAGTCAAAAGATTAGGGCATTAGGGCAAGTAATTGAATGTTAATACTTATAAGGGTAAATATTGCATCTATCAGAATAGAGTACAGCCTATTTTCCATAGAAACAAATAAAGGACTAAGGATTGTTGCAAAGTAGAGTCTTCAAAAGACAGAGAGTAGAAGTTCTTGTTTCCACTAGCACACCGCCTGCGCCCCATTAGTTGATGTTTCGAACCACACAAAGAGGGGAAGGGTGGAGGTGCTACATTATTTTTATCATCTTAAGTGTACTAATTTCCAGTAATTAAAGAATGTTTATTTATCAAAGTACATCCAATATTTGGATTAACCAAGCCTAGCAGCAGAAAGTAAAAAATTTCATCTTTCCTCTCTTTCTTCTATAGGATCGTGTGGGGCAGAGAGAAATGAACTAAATAGAGTAATAAGAGAGTAAATTAAATACCTGCAATGCATTCACATAGAAATGATGGAAAATACCCAGAATACCTTGAAATATATCTCTAGTTCAAACGAAGGATTCGTGAATGGGAAATAAGTATCAATCCAGCGCATCTCCACAGCACCTGAAATCTTAGACAAAACTGGCTAAATAATGATTTTAAAAAAAAGCTACATCATCCTAAGGGACTAACAACAGATAGGACTAGATCATAGACTTAGAGACAAATTGAGGAGGGACTAAGGAAGGCCACTGTAAGCCACAAATTTTCCCACCCTATTAACTGGTTATAGACAATTGCACACTAGATAGAAAGTATAGTAATTGCTGAATCTCAAACATCATCACCTAAGCAGCAAGTAATAGCATTATATACAAAGTTGTATTGAACTAAATATTTTTACTATTTTACCAAATAAGTGCCTTGCCAAACCCTCAAGACATTTCTTTAAGTCCTCAGCAGCAAATGATGTGGCATCCAAGCCAGATGCCTCCCACTCATCAGGAGAGAAAACACGAAACCCTTCCATCTGTGTGGTAACAAAAATAAAGTTATAACAGGAAAAAAATAACAGCACTTGAAAGAGTCATTGGTAAGAAAATTATGATTACAAAAATCATACATAACAAACCTGGTGGAAAACAGGGTAATGAGTTGAATCAATAGAATCTCTGCGGTAGACATCTCCAGTTACTAGGAAATGAGTGTGACCATTCCTTAATAGCTCAGCTTGATGTGCACTGGTATGACACCTCAGTACAGTTTGAGAGTCAACATAGTATGTGTCATTATAACTCCTACTTACATGGTTAGGAGGAACCAAGACATCATCAAAATTCTGCAAAAAATACATTTATTTTCACTAAGAATATCTCTAGAATACTTCAAAAATAGAAATCATTATAAACATTTAAACACATAAGGTAGACCAATGTTAATTGGCTTACTTATCTTTACCTGTTTTACAGAAACAATTGGACAGAGATCATCAAATTTATCAAACTTGCTCGAGAAATTGGTATCAAAATACTCATATATTGCATTCTTCAAAATCCCAATTGGGTGTTGATTCCTTCTATGAAGTTGCAGTCCAAGTTTTGAAAAAATTGCATCCGGAACATTGTTTGTAGGGTCATCCCTAACCACATCTAGAAACACCAATATCCAAAGTGTAATTCCAAGAAGAATGCAACTTAATGAAATAGTACAAAACTTTCATTGTTTGTTAGACCATCAATAAACACCTGCTAGCCTAAAACATATAAAGTCAAGCCAACGGCAATAATTCAATTAGGGAGAGAATAGAGATACACTTTCTTGAAACAGCAAAGCACACATAAGTGCAGTGCTGAAATCACAAAATCACAGTTAGACTCAGAACTCAAAACAAATGCCACACAAATTGCAAATTTTTTTCCTTCATCAACGATAAAAATGAAAACCCACTATATAATTAGCGCTACCAGAAAAAACACACAAGAGTTTACCACAAACATATACATATACAAAAATATTAGTCAGGAGCAACAGCATTAGGTGTTCAAAAATAAAAATGACACCCAGTAACTAATTGAACAATATGAAATTTTGAAAGGAGATACCAATCATTACCATCTCTAGCAATCTTGACTCCACCAAGTTCGAGCACAGAAACAACAGGTTGTCTCCAGTTTCTTTTATAAGTGGTAGAGAGAGCCCATGAAGAAGAGAAGGGCACGCAGAAAGTGAAGTGAGTGAAGGCATTTGTTCTTCCACGGAGAAGTAGAGATGAGGTTCTAAAGGAGAAGAAAGTGTAGTGTGCAAGCGACAGCGCCGCAGCCATGCTCCTCGAATTTCAATTTAGTGCCGAAATTAAACTAGATAACAAATTCAATCCGCAGAGTTACAGCATAACGTCTCTTATGATAGGAGAGGAGGTTAGCTAAAATGGTCTCTCTGGGGATCGAGTGATATATACAGTCTGAATATATAGCTAAAATTGGTCTCTCTTGGGGATCGAGTTGATATATACAGTCTGGAATAATATATATATATATATATATATATAATATATATATATAATATATATATATATATATATTATGTTGATAAAATTACAATTGTGTCCTATTATATTGTCATAATTAAATATATGTATGATAAAATTACAATTGTGTCCCTATATTGTCATAATTAATTATTTTATTTTTATATTTTTAAAAATTATATTATTTTATAATTGTAGTTTGTCCCGTTAAATGAAATTGTCTTGAAATGTTGTCAGTTTGTCGTCCTTTTCATCTCTACCATCAAATAAAACAAAATATATCCTTTTTTGCATTTCATTAAACACTAGATGAGCATGGGCAGAACTAGAATTGAAAAAATTCAAAAACCAAACAACATAAAAAAACGAAAATTTGCACAAGCATTCTATAAAGATCAAATTCTTCTTTCCAAGCTCTCAAATCTCTGATACCCATTTGCCCCAAGTGCGTATTCAGACTCCTCTATACACAGGATGCTTGCTATTGTATCTAGCTCTCTTCAGTTTCGTATGATTCTCATCCGGGTCGAATTTTCGAAAATAATGTTATAGGGGATGTGAACTCTGATTTCTTTATTTCTACGGTTGAAACAGGGGATGCAAAGGTTGTTTTCACAGGACATGATAGTTTGAATGATTTTTGTGGTTAACTAACTGGTATAAACCTTTGTTATGTCGTGAGTTTGGATACATAACTATAGAAAGGATGGATGGACAAGAAGGGCAATGTTGGTTGTAACATCTTTGGAGAGTCAAAGAAAAGAGACTGGGGAGCTAAACGCCTTGATGATAATAGCTTCACTGTTATTGATGACCAAACCCTCTTGAGCCAAGGTCCCGTAGGTAACTTCTTTTGTATTGGAAAAAAAAAAAAAATCTTGGCTAGATGTTGAGTTAGCCAATTGGATATGCCTAGTAAATGCTACGTCCGTTATATATTACTTATTATATTTAAATTTATAAACATTATATAATTTCGTTCATAACATTATATTAGCAAAACTAGTATGAAGACTAATTGTCTAATTAAATTTATAATAATAGGTATAAAAGTTAGTTTTCAAAAATTTCAAGAGTTCGTTATTTTTTATTTATCTTTAGTTTTATTTTAATTAACCGAAAAGAGAAAAATGATGTAAAAATTAAATTCTGGGCTTTTTTCCCATTAATTACTACTACTGATTATTATTACGATAAAGATGATTCAGTAAATGACAGTCGAACTTAGGAGCAAAGTCTCTTTCAGTTCAGAATCAGATTAGCAAAAATCATCATCAATTCAAAACAATACCCAATCTCTCCGATCTCTTAAAGATTCTCAATCAATAAACTGCAACACTTTCTTGTCTCTAATAACCGACATATATAAATACCCTCTTCGCCCAAGAACTCTGAATCAATCAAAATCTTGACCATCTCTCTCTCTTTCTCTTTCTTTCTTGGTTACATAAACAATCCGAGTTGGCAATTCAAATCCCTGATTTCATTTTCTTGATTGAAGTGAATAAATACTGTGTTTCTGTGATTACTGGATTGGGTGGTCATGATGAGGAAGAGGGAAAGGGAAAATCCGTGTGGGGTATGTGGGCACTACCACAAGTACGAGGAAGGAGAGGTTTGTGGGATTTGTGGTCACCGGATGCCTGAATCTGCTGAGAAATCACCGCTTCATGTTAGTGCTTTCCCTTCAGAGATCTTGCCGGAGTTTCTTTATCTGGGTAGCTATGATAACGCTTCTCGCTCCGAGCTTCTCAAAACCCAGGGGATTTCTCGTATTCTCAATGTATAAAGATTACAAATTTACTTCATCTTCATTATTATTGTTTTTTTTTTTCATTTTTAATTTATAGTATTATGATCAGATTGATTCTGATTATAGTTTTGAAGTTTTTGAATTTTCTGTTTCGTGTTGATTAGGATTTTAGTATTTTAATTTTAGTGACTAGAACACAGGGAACTAGAAGCTGTTTTCTTTGCATTGATCATCAAAGAGGGAGCATGTTAAAGATAAGAGAGAGACTTTTTTGAAATAGAGGAAGCTGTTATTTTAGAGATGTGATACGAATTTCGTGCCTGGTGGTCAAATAATTATCTTTTATGAGAGAATGGCATGCAAGAAGTTAAAGATTGCATTGCATGATGAAAGACCAATCAGGTTCTGGAACCCATGGTTTAGTGATAAGTTGAGTCACGCATCTGCCTTTTATGGATTTCCAGATTGAATACTTAGGATTTGTTACTTTGCATCATATAATATATAGGCAATATATTCAAAAGGGAATTAATTGAGATTTTAGTTATGCTATTTTTTGGAAAAAGGGCAGTGGTTGACCCTGGTTGCTGATGTTCTTATATTTGCCCTTTGTCTTTTCATATTGTTTTTATGGTTGATTCAATTTGGAATTTTTGGCTTCAACCCACAATGAAAAAGACTAGACCATTTGCTTCGTTCAATCTCTCATTAGATAAAGAGATGTGCTTTTACAACAAGGGTTATGCATATTGAGAGAACAACTTTTACCAAACTGATTTGGGATGTGAATTATCATGTAAAGCTTAGAGACAAACTAGCCAATTCTTTGTTTCAGTTTTATGGAACAACCATTGATTTTATTTTTTAAAACTAGATCTAACTTCTAAGGAAGAAGATACTAGTCAATGGAACATTTTGCTACCACAAAGGAAACAGACCTCTGATTTTTTTTTTTTTTTTTTTGTTTACTAGTTCAATGGAAACATTTTGCTACCACAAAGGAAAAGAACCTTTGATTTTTTTTTTTTTTTTTGTTTTCATCTATAATCTAATATTTTGTTATAATTTCCTTCATTCAATTATCTATCTCTGTGATAGTCTCTTGAAAATTTTATTTTTTTTTTTTTTTTTTGGTTCATCTATAATCTAATATTTGTTATAATTCCTTCATTCAATTGATCTATCTCTGTGATAGTCTTCTTTGAAAATTTTATTTTTTTCGCTTAGCAATTACAAAATTGTCAGCTTATTGATGGGGAAATGGGAAACAGTAATTGTCTTAGTCAGGAGTTACAAGAGCTCTGCCACTTTCTTATATCAGTTGCTTTGTCTGTACGTAGACAGTACCGGCTTGTCAAAATCTCTACAAGAATTCATTCACCTATCACTGCCTCCAAGATGACAAAACTTTACAATTTGATGATGCAATTCAATTTTTGGGTAAGTTATCTACATATGGCGAATTGTCTTTTTTTTTTCCTTTGTTATGTTCATGTTTCCTCCCTAACCCCTTGCTCATGCTAATATTTCTTGAGGGATTCCACTTAATAGTGGAATCAGAAAACATGCACTCCCATATTTCTCTTTTGTACCATTGCTTGTATAGGCTTATAGAAAAGCTTATAACATAATTGCTTGATTTCGTTGTGATTTTGGTCATTGCCTTGTGTGAGTTTAAGGATTTTGTTAATTATATATTAATGGCTTATTTGATTTCCTTATTCAAATGGCAACCTATATTATCTATGTGTCACATTATGACTTGTCTTGCAGAAAAATATGTTTGTAATTCCTCAATTTGAATGAGGTGTAGACTAACAATGATAAGGAAAGATTTAAGTTGGTGATAATCTTCAGAAATATTATTAATTGAAATTTGTTGGAAAATCTTTTCCTGGAAAACGTTTTCTGCAGTTTTTCAGCACAGAGAAAAAATGGCCAACCAAAATGTTTTACTGGTCAATGAGAAAATTATGTCAAAGGAAAATGTCCTTTTATGAACTCAGAAAAGGGGAAGGATTATATAGGGGAATTGTAGAGACATACTTACTGGTCCAACTATCATATCTGATAATTTTTGGGCATCATAGACCACCAGCAGCAGCTGATGGTCCTTGTCTTGCGCTTCCTATCATCACAGTGGGTACATTTTGTAAAATAGCTGCAATAAAATGTATTGTTTTTGTGCAATTTTCTATCATATTCAACTATAGATAGTATGTATGAAATTCTTGTTGGTCCAAACTCTTTCAGAAGAAAATTGATATTTACAGTGTACTCAGTGCCAAAAGGGAAAGAAAAATTCAGTTGATTTGCTAGAGTGCGACAAAATAATGGAATATAAGTCAATTTTTTGAAAATCTTCTCCACATGTTAGTTCTTTTCTGCAAGACAAGTGGAGTGATAATTTGCATCGTGAAGTATTATCAGTAACAACTAATGTCTACTTCAGAAAGCTAAAGCCATAAGAACTGAGTAAAACATTGCTTCTTATTCCTTATTGAAATAAGGTGGTTGCTTTATGAGGTTGTGTTATTCAGTTTCTCCCAGGGCTCTTTTTTTTTTTTAATATGTAGAAAGTTGTTTTCCTTACGTTTCAAATTTATGATGATTGGATCACCAAAGAGTAACCTTATTATTGCACCAAGGCAAATCCTCATATCCGCACTAAAATAGTTTATTTAAATAATTTCCCTTTTATTTACCTTCCTTTAATGATAATTTAACTAAATTTAGTTCTGCATTTGGTAGATTGCATTGGTTGTTTAGTTTACTTGGCAATTTTTTATATGTATTGGCAACCTTTACTTTCTCCTTGAGCTTCAAGTGTAACACAACATGTTTCTTTTTGTAGAGCAATGTGAAAAGGACAAGGCTCGAGTTCTTGTGCACTGTATGTCAGGGAAAAATAGGTAGTTGTCCACAAATTATGCTTGTTCTTTTCCTTCTTTTTGGTTTCTCCTCTTCTTTCAGATCGAGCACAAAAATGTTCGTAGGAGGCAACGTGAGATTCTGATCCAGAAGCTTTCAAAATATATTCTGGGTTATGATTGTTGACTAAAGTATTTTTTGATTTGACATTTTTGAGATTGATAGCCATGTTCTTTTTAACAGGTCTCCAGCTATTGTGATAGCCTACTTGATGAAGTCCAAAGGATGGAGGCTAGCACAAAGCTACCAGTGGGTGAAAGAGAGGAGGCCATCTGTTGACTTAAGCAATGGTATGTGTATCCTGATTTAGGAAAAAACATTGGTTGAATGAATAGTCAATACAATTTAGTTAAATTATAGTTCCAATATTTTTCAAGTTACATATGCTTGGGAGTTACTGTCCTCTTGAATGCTAGTACGAAATGTAGGGATATGGTGTTTAAAGAAGTTCCAGAATTATTGTACTTGTTTTCAGATATTAGCTTTTGTGCCATGAATATGCATGTCTTTCCTTTGATTGCTTACCCATAGCTAAATCTCACTTTGTGTGTGTGTGTGTGTGTGTGTGTGTGTGTGAATGCCAGCTGTGTACCAGCAGTTGCAGGAGTATGAACAGAAGGTTTTTTGCTCTGCTGACGTCAACACTCTGGCCTTGCCAGTTTTCCCATCCTTCAGTTTTGGCTTTCCTAAGGCTAGTGATCTGGTTCCTGCACCTGCTTTCAGTAGTATTGGCAGTACCTCCATTTTTGCCCGTCCTTTGGATGTTCCTCCACATGAATTTCAGTTTGGAGCAGGGCATCCTCAAAGTAATATGTCTGCCAGCCCCTTTGATGCCAATGCACCAAACCCAAATGGCGGGGACATTTCAATGGATTCATGAGTCCGCAGCATTTATGCGATGAGATCAACGTTCACAGAAGTTAAAACGAGTTTACAAGTTTTCAGAAGTTTCAAACTGCAAATGATAAATGGATTCATGAGTCCGCAGCATTTATGCGATGAGATCAACGTTCACAGAAGTTAAAACGAGTTTACAAGTTTTCAGAAGTTTCAAACTGCAAATGATACTCTCTTTTGCTTTCCGATATGACGTGTGCAATACTTTGTCTTTGGCTAGTTACTTACAGGATTGTTAATCTAATGCAAGAGTAGAGTTTTTTTTATCATTTGTTACACTTATCTGTGCTAAAGTGGTTCTGTATTTTCTACTACTTGCAAGTATAGGATATAGATGATTTCTGAATATGTGAAACCAAAAAAAAAAGAAAAAAAAATGAAAAAAAGGAAAGAGGAGCTATATTGGCAAAGATGTATTCATCAAAGGCTTCTGGACTGTTCATGATTCATTTGTTAGTGCTTCTCCTCTTTTTGATATTCTCTATTTTCTATTTTCTTTCTCCTCCCTCTTTGGGTTGACGGGTTCATGATATCAACCTGTAATTTATAAACTAAGAATGCACACTGATGTTTGAAAATACTATTTAGCACTTAAAATTACTATCTTCAACTCTAGGTAGTTTTAAGTTGATTTAAAATTCTATTTACGTATTAAGTAAAAGTTTCAATTATGTTTATTCAATGTTGACGGCTCAGTTTACATTTTGGACTTAGAATCAATCTTATACAATTTATTCTCTGAATTTGCACTAAAAGAACAAAAAGTCCATTTTTTTTAAAAAAAATATTTTAAAATACAATAATTATAAAAAAACTACAATGTCATTAAACAAAATATTTAATTTGAGCAATTATAAGATCATAAAAATATTTAATTATAATGAATATTTAGTTTGAAAAATAGTTTATCATTCTATTTAATTATTTTTTAAGTACATTTGATTTTAATCAAATGTTTCATTACTTTTTAATTATATTTGATTAAAATCAAAAATTAAAACTTTAATTTTAATTTTGATATTAAAATCAAAATATTTAATTTTTTGTTTACCTCTTTGGCCAAAGGAAAAATTGTCGCCGATAGTGTTGGAACCACTGCCTTGTGATCAATACACCACTTGCAGGTGACATTTGCTACCAGTTTAGCAACTCGACCTATTCTTTTTGATAACTTCATGTTGGTCCCAAGAAAGTACATATCCGCAGTTTTGATGGGATCGATCCACTGGGTTGGATAGCCAAAGCTAAATAATATTTTGAAATCCATAATACCTAAGAGGATTTGGAAGAATGGACAGTGTGCCTCTTCATTGGCTCTGATTGTTGCGTGAACGGAATTCAACTCTTCATGGGAACAATTGAAGGTTGAACTGGTTCAATGCTATGGTGGCTTTATTTCAGAAAACATTTATGAATAACTGCTGCAACCAAACAAGTTGATACAATGGTCGAGCATATTAATGACTTTGTGGCCTGAGCGACACAAGTACCAAATATGATACATCCTTATTGTTTGGGATATTTTCTTAATAAGTTAAAGAAAGGAACCAGAGTCTGACTCCTATCATGTTAAAATTACAGCTACAGCTCTTGAAGCTAAAATTGATGCAAGTGTTGTTGACAGTTTTTAGAGAAATTTTCTTAAAGTCATTTAGATTTTGTTGTACTTTGTTGAAGTCAAGAAGTAGGTGAACTACCTTGCTTTTAGGTAGGTTTGGTGAACAAATTTCCTTGACTTATAGAAGTAAGGATTAAGCCATGTCGTTAACTTTGTTGAAGTCATAGAAGTTAGAAAGTGAACTACCTGCTTTTAGGGTAGGAGTTTAGTGAACTAATTCAGGGTACGAATAAATTTCCTTTGACTTATAGGGAAGGTTGGTGAAAAAATTTACATTATGGTGGATATAAATGAAAACAATCGATGAAACTGTGGAAGATTTGTTTCTCACACACTTACAAAACTCTGCAATATTTTTCTCGCGGGTGGTCTCTGCAGGTCATTTAGATTTTGTTGTACTTTGTTGAAGTCAAGAAGTAGGTGAACTACCTTGCTTTTAGGTAGGTTTGGTGAACAAATTTCCTTGACTTATAGAAGGTTGGTGAAAAAATTTACATTATGATATAATGAAAACAATGAAAATGTGAAGATTTGTTTCTCCACACTTACAAACTCTGCAGATTTTTCCTTCTCTGCAGAATTTTCCTTCTCTTCTTTAATTTTCTGCTCTTCTAAACCAACATATCACATGACACCGAAAATTTATATCTTACAATGAAGTTGGCTAAGGAAATTGAAAGAAAGATCTATCATCTTAACAAGTCAAAAACATCCTCTACAGGGAAGAGCAACCGCGGGCTTGGGCCAAATCAACAACACCTAGTACTTACTGCTCTTTACCTAATTATTTTTCAAACCCACGATGTGATCCCTTTATTCCTAAACCTCTAAAAAAGACAGCAGAAACTACCGAATGCTCCTTGCCCTTATCAACACCTCCTGCTCTGCCACAACAAAAAACACTACCTCCCCATACTCGATAATGGGGAATTCGTTGCTACTCTTATCAAGAATACCAGGATTTACAAGCAAAAAGACTTTATTTCCATTGTAAACAACCTTACTCTTTGTTGCATGAATGCTCTAACAAATCCTTTAGAGCTTTAATTGGAGGAGAAAATAGGCTCTTGTGTATTTCCACTCAGTGGTGTTGATTTTATTCTCGGTGTTGCTTGGTTTAGAAACTCTTGGTAATGTGCATGTCAATGGAGCAAAATGGCAATGCAGTTAATCAACAAACAAACCCTTTTACAAGGGGACCCCTTCCTCAGAATGATCCCTATTTCTCTTAATACTTCATATAAATTATCCGAGTTTTTAGTTCTTCTTTCGAAAATTCATTCTAATGATTCATTCTTACTCGTTGCAGAGGATGACCTTTCTCATGTCCAACAAACTTCTTTCATAATCTCCTCACAGAATTTAAGGAAGTTTTTGCACAAATCCAATCTTTACCATCACATCGGCAAGTTGATCATCAAATTCCGTTATAATCAGGCGTTGGCCCAATCAGTGTTCGGCCTTTACTGTTATGGCCATGTGCAAAAAATGAAATAGAGAAGCTTATTATTGAGATGCTCTCTGCCAGAATAATTCGCCCCAATAATAGCCCTTTCTCTAGTCCTGTGTTGTTAGTCAAAAAGAAGGATGAGAGCTGGTAATTTTGTGTGGATTACCACTAGCTCAACAAGGCCACCATTCCCGACAAGTATCCTATTCCAGTCATACAGGAGCTCTTCAATGAACTTCATGGTGTTAAATTCTTCACTAAGCTTGGCTGGAAATCAGGCTACCACCAGATTAGGGTGGCTGCTCCTGATACACAGAAGACCACTTTTAGAACACATTTGGGTCACTATGGGTGTCTGGTGATGCCCTTTGGTCTTACAAATACCCTAGCAACCTTCTAAGTAGTAATGAATGATATCTCCATACCCTTCTTATGTAAATTTGTTCTGGTCTTCTTCGATGACATCCTAATCTATAGTAAGGTTTGGCAAAGCCATTTGTCTCACTTAAGCACTATTCTCAAATCACTTTGCCAAAACTAGTTGCATGTCAATAAAAAACAAAATGTTCTGTAGGCTGACGATCAATTGAATATTTAGGCATGTTTTCCTAAAGAGTGGAGATGGATCCATAAAAAATCTCTTCAATATTAAGATGGCCAAGCCCCAAATTTTTAAAGGTTGTAACAGTGTTCTTAGGTCTAGGGGGATATTATTGTCGATTTATCAAAAATTATGGTCAAATTGTTAAACCTCTCATTGTCTGCTCCCAAAAGTATCTCAACACACATTCTCTTGACCCCCCACAGCTCAAGATGAGTTTGACACTCTTTAAGCAAAACCATCATCTATTCACTAATGCTTATCGCTTCCGATTTTAGTCAACCATTTATAGTGGGGATGCTTCTGGGGCGAGAATTGGGACTGTCTGGATGCAGCATAGTCAACTTGTAGCTTTTTTTTTCAGTAAACCCATATCAAACATAATAGCAGGCCACTCCATATTGAAAAGGAACTGATGATGCTGGTACTAGCTATTCAGCATTGGTGAACTCACTTGATGGGTCATTAATTTCTTGTGTGAACAAATGACATACGCTTGAAACATTTGTTGAAGCAACAAGCTACTGCACCAGACCAACATTCTTGGCTTTCTAAACTCATGGGCTATTATTTCTTGATTGAATATAAACCTAGCCATACTAACAGAGCCGTTGATGCCCTTCCTTGGCACGACGAGGAACCTAATATTATGATTTTAATTGGAACATGTTAGGCTGAACGGGATGAAATTGCTAAGGAAATCTAAGGAGACAAATTCTTGGGAGCTATGGTACGAGACTTGTAGTCATTAAAGAAGTAAAATATGAATTTCTCTTTAATTCATGATAGGTTGTATTACAAAGGCAGATTGACAATTCCTTTACATCAGCTTGGGCTCTCAAATTAATTTTGAATTCCATACAACCCCAATGGGAGGTCACTCAAGAGCTTATCGTACTTACAGGCGAATTTCTTTTAGTTTTTATTGGAAAGGGATGATGAGTATAATCCAAAAGTTTATCGTAACTTGCTTAATTTGTCAGCATAACAAATATGAAGTCCAATCACCAGCTGGACTATTATAGCCTTTGCTCATATCAAAGGAAGTTTCGGAAGATGTCTCTCTTGATTTTATTACTGGGTTGCCTAGATAACAAAGGGTTGACTGTGTTTTTGTTATCTTGGACCGTTTTTCCAAATATGGTCATTCCTTCCTCTTCGACATTCGTTCACTGCAAAATTTGTGGCTGAAACTTTCACAAGAGAAGTGGTTTGTTTGCATGGAATTTCAAGAAATGCGGTTGTGACATGGACTCTCTCTTTTTAAGCATTTTTTTTTTTTTTGAGTGAATTATTTCGACTACAAGATACTCAACTGAAGTTTAGTTTTGCATATCATCCGCAAACCGATGGATAGATAGAAGTGTTAAATTGATGTCTAGAGTCTTATCTCCGCTTTTCTGAACAACCTAAAACTTGAGCCAAGTGGTTGTGCTGGGTTGGATATTGGTACATTACTAGCTTTCAAAGTGCCACGAAAAGTTTCCTTTTGAAGTAGTGTATGGAAAGCCATCTCCAGTCCTACAACACTATCTGCCTGGAGAAACACGAGTTGAGTCTGTAGCAAAAGATCTTCATGACCATGATGAGATCATTAGACAATTGGAGTTCAACCTGTATGGGGCTCAACAAATAATGATCAAATATACAAATCGACATAGAAGGGATGTCCAATTTTCTACTGGAGACAAAATTTTTCTCAAACTTTGCACATGGACAGCAATCGGTGAATTCCCAAATTTATCCCAAGCTTGCAGCAAGGTACTATGGGCCATTTGAAGTTTTGGAAAGGATTGGGTCGTGCATTA